ACACACACACACACGAGTGTCGTTGTATGTCTTCTTTTCTCTCAAGCCAGAGCTGCGTGAAACGTATCATCTTGTGCAGCTTTCTATCAGGCGCTCTTTTTAAACCAAAACATCTACAAAATGGGGTCCATACCTCAGCACTTGAAGCTTGTCAAAACCAATGGATTTTACTACCAGAATGGGGTGCATACCTGTGCTTGAGCTCAGAAGTCCTGTCATACAGTACAAAATGCCTTCCAGACCCCTCCAGATCACGCATTTCCACTACAACATGGGTCCCTACAAAATGCTCGGACATGCTCCAAAACAGATTTTACTACACATGTGTTTTTATTGGGGGTCTTAAGGCCCCTGCATTTCATAGTGGAAGTGGCAACGAGGATAAAAGCAGTGTGTTGGCAATCCCGGGTGACTTTCCTCTGAAGACATGAAGCCTTGAAACCCTGCTGACGACCTGAAGCCTAGTGACGACCTGAAGCCTTGAAGACCTGAAGCCTGGTGACGACCTGAAGCCTTGAAGACCTGAAGCCTCTTCGTGTCTCCGCGTGTCTTCGTGTCTTCGCGTGTCTTCGTGTCTTCGCGTGTCTTCGTGTCTTCGCTTGTCTTCGTGTCTTCGGGTCTTCGTGTCTTCGCGTGTCTTCGTGTCTTCGTGTCTTCGCGTGTCTTCGTGTCTTCGTGTCTTCGCGCAAAAGTCACAACCCGCTTCTGCCAACGCAATGGATAAAAGATCTTTAAATCACTCTCCAGCATCACTGAGCGTGTCCACACGCTTGTGATCGTCTGTTTTTGGAGCGCAACTTTACCAAACCAATGCCGATCAAGTAGACTAAATTAGACTAACATGATACTTCAACTCTAAGTAGAGTTCAGGTCAGTTCAGTTCGCATGAGGCATGAAGCACGCCATCGCCCCCGGTCCCCCAGTGCCCGGCAACATCTCAGAACCATAATGCGTTCGGTTCGGGTCTGAAACCAGGGCCTACATACTCGGAGACAAGGCAACCACGAGAGTTTGAAGAACCGAAGGAAGAACCAAAAGGAGCTTCAGTTCCGCTACGTATCCACTAGCTGAATGTGAGGATTGACGCGTCAATGTCAGGAGTGGATCCAATCGAATTCCACACCTAAATATCCTAGAGAATTTGCTGGCATTGCAACTGCCCAAACCCTCCATCAAAAGTTCTCAGCATATCCAACAAATTGTGTATATATCAAAATACATGGACGGGAGGGTGAGAAAAATCGCTAAGAGAGTGCATGAGAGAGTGCGACGCTTCATCGAAGAAGCCAGCTTTGGGTCCAAATCATCCCCTTCTCATGCTCCTCATGTGGCAGTCCCGGCCTGAGCTGCTTCCATGGCTGCCTTCTCAGCGACCAAGCCCTGCACAGGTGTGGAGGGTGTGGAATAGATTGGAAAAAAGACACCTTTTCGAAACATTGAGGCTTGGAGTAGATGCTTCTTTGCATAGTGGCAACTTCAAAACTGTCTGATTTTTTTGGGATACTGTTCGAGGAGATTAGACTAATGTTTGCTACTACTATCTAGTACTCCTACTTGTGTGTAATCGATGATGGCAAATGGAGGTAAATGGAGGTAGCAGTTCAGCACAGCTATAAAGGGTTACTATAAATGTTATCAAATTGTTATTAAGAGACACCCCAAACAGGGGGCCCAGTTTAGATTGTATAACTTATCCCGGCCTCAAAACAGCACATGAATAAACGCAGCCATGAGTAACATCGTAATATGAGGTAGTTTGCAGGTCTTTGATTTACTTGTAGGGTCATTGATATCGTCCCTGTATTTCCCTGTTCTCCACGAAGTCTCTGGCAGCTCTTGCTTCGCACTTCCCACCTGTATGTGGAATATACTCCGTCGAAAACAAGAATCGAACAGCTCACCATCCGTCTCCGTCTCCGTCTCCAAATACAACTCCCACAAACTGCCGCACCTGGACATCCCCTAGGGATCCAAGTATACCTTCTCTTAAGGTGTTTATGTAGGCGCCAGGAGGGCCCAACAAGTACCTTCGAAGGTACAGGTGGATCCTAGAAATCTGGCCTCACGCCTTTTGGTTCACTGACCAATGGTACGTAGTGATGTACAGTACTAAGGACGACGACGGTGCGGGACGCATCCGTACCGCGTACCGAGAGAGGACGGTACGAAGTTGCGAGGCGACCGGAGGTGGTAAACCTCCGGGATCTGCCGCCCCTTTGAGAGGGTGATTGGAGACGGGTTGATGTACAGTAGGTGCCAGGGTCCATGTACCTTCTGAGAAGGTATTTCGATTTGAACTGCAAACATCGACCACGTCCTTAGCGGATTCCAACGAGCCCGGGGAAGTCCTGCACCACGAAACCAAAAACTCGCTCCTCCCATCATCTCCCATCCCAACCCCCGGTCACCCCGGTCGCCGCCAGCCCCACCTGCGCCAGCGCCGCGCGTTGCGCTGCCTTGCCGGCCAACAAGGCCGCCTCGAGCGGATCCTTCGGTCCGTTGGCGCTCCACACGGATGGACGTGGGGTGATGAAGCCTGGTTTCGTCGGTGGGTCCTGGTTTCGTGGGGTTGGGCGGTGCAAACACATCTTGAAGCAACATGAACCTGGATGAGCAAAACGTCTGCTTCTGAACTGTCTAGCTAGTCTAGTGGATGAATTACCATATACTGATGTATACTGTATACTTGAGGAGGAGTGCCAGAGGGGTGTCAAGGCAATTCCCTACATCGACCAACATCCAGGATGTACCATGAGCCTTCTCTTCCCAGCAACACTTTCTTGTGCCACGCAAGATCAATCGGAAGGATTTCTTGTGCCTGAAAACACCCAAATCCCGGCGCCGTCCGTTTGAACTGGCCAACCACAAGAGAAGGTAAAAATAGGTAAACACATGTCTCAGTTCAACATCATCACTTCGCCATGCTTGGCCTCTGAAAAAACGATGGTGTGGTGGATGCCTGCAACTACAAGCTAAGGAAAACCATCGATGAGCAGATGAACGTCCGTTGAAAGTGCCGGTCGGACAGCCCCCAACTCCAGCGCTGACTTCGACTTCGCATAGCTTCACACCCAACTTCGCCACCCAACCAGGCTTGCACCGACCTCCTCCACCGACATGGGTCCACCTCCACCACTCGTCCACCACCCCAGCTGCTGCAGCTGCGACCGAACATGCGCCGAGGTGCCCGAGTGTCACCTGTTGCTGCAGCCGCGCGTGCCGCTGCCTGGACTGCAGCTTCAGCTGCATGCTCCTGGAGTGATAGCTCCGCATGCTTTGGGGGAATAGGCACAGAATTCGGTGCAACGGCTGCAATCCTTTGGGGAGTATCACTTGATCGCTTCAAAACGCAGTCTTCGGACACGCCGCGAACGTCGCACCGCTTCTTGTTTCTCTTGCGGTTTCAAGTTCTTAACCTTTCAAGTCGCAGCTCGTGGTGCGGACCTGCCCCAACTCGTCATCGTGGCTTCGCCCAGCGGTGTCATCCGCATTGGGGACCCCCTGTGACCCTCCTATCTCTTCACGTGTCGTTTCATCGACGAAAAACGTGTCGAACCGCGTCGTTTCTTCACATCAATCTCCGCAGATTTGGATCACGTGGCGTCTATGGTATAGGAAGTAAGTGTGTTCTCCCTTCTGCCGATTTCTGGACCCAGCTTGCTGAGACAACTTGAAAATCACCTGCCAGGATCTCCCAAGTTTCTGAACCCAGGGTATGTAAAGATAAATAACAAATTTAATATACGAGCTTAACATCCTTCTCCATTACATGTGGACTCTAAAACGTACAGACTCCCACAAATGTTTCCAGCCTGGTGCCATGAAGTTCCTTTGCCCCCCCTACTTCAAAATAAAATACGTCAAACCGCACCCGTTGCCCTGGTGCACCTGCTTCAGTCCGGCCGCCGCCCCAGCGGCCGCCGCGGCTGCAGCGGCCACCGCGCTGTTGCCGGCCATGCTCTGCGCAGCCTTCGAGGTGTGTTGAGGGCGCGAAAGGATTGATGCTCCCTTCATGGCTGTTCTGGAAAATCACCCTGTGAGCCAAACATCCTTAGAACATTCTGAAGAGTCTGGAGGTTTTTCTAGCAACACACCGCCATCTGCGCGGTGGGGTGAAATTGCTGCGAACACCGTAGTTAGCATCGCGTCGTGGCATCGTGTGGGATCTCTTGTCGTTCTTCCGTTTCGCCTGCTTGAAACCCTCAATGGAGAATCAACCCAAGGGCAGAAGAGGTCTGTTGCCTGGGATGGACTTTCCGTCCCAAACCAAATACAGCAGTGGAAGCGCCTGCCCAGCAGCAGCTGCAGCTAGGCGGCCAGCGTCCCTGAGGTCAGCGAGCTGGTTGTACAAACGCAGATAAGACAATACCCAAACCATCCATCAAACTGGCATATTGACTGATCAGTTGTGGTGGTTTCAAACATGGGTCAAGGTAAGGCACGGTGTCTGGGATATCGATCCTATGTTCACGTACTTGCTGTGGAAGCACAAACTGAGCCCACACCTCTTTTTTGCAGGGGCCCACCTGTCGCGGCAAGATCCAACACCCCTGTCGGTTGCAATGGCAAAATGATTCGGTTTCGTCACAGAGTCTAAAGGCAAAACCTCTGTGAATTAACATGAGTATACGTGAGTGAACCTCTGTGAATCGAAAGGCAAAACCTCGTCTGTGAGTCAAAAAGTTCAAACATGAACTTGTTGAGGTGCGGTCAAAACCTCTGGTAGCTCCTTGAACTTTGGCGGCAGTTCGGGGATGCGACTGCCCGCTTCCTATCCAACCACGACCGAAACACCCACTTTGCTGCTCTAATCACAGGTTTTGGTGCTTCGCCGGGAAAGCATGAGTCCGGCGCGGTTCATCGCGGTTCGTCTTCAAAACACTGCGGGGGCCGAGGGTGTCAATGCAGCCTGGCCCATGCCAACGCACCATCACATCTATCTCTTCAGCAGACCGTGCCAAAGCATACCGTGTCTTCCAAACCGGTGTGTCACCGTCGCCGTTTTCCGTCCGGGTCGCTGCTCGGAAAGGCCCACTTGGCGAGCTGCCTCAGCCACCGCCTGGCGCGGGCCATTGATCCACAGCTCGGCCACCGCGGGTGGCGGTGGCCAAGGAGATGGCCACGGGCAAACCCAACACATGAATGCAGTTCTGGTGTGTTCTTGAGCTTTTTGTGGATGTGAAACACCAAGTCCACATATATAGTCCAAACTCCACACCTTGCGGTCTGCTCTCGTGTCGACAGCAAAAGTCTCTCGACGGTCGGTCGACGGCCCTATCTTGGACAATGGTCCTTCATGTGGTCTTTGTCGCTCCTTCCTTCTCAAAGCTTCTGGCTTGGTGCCAATCCTCAAGCCTCAAGACCTTTCCTGACTCGTGAACCACGAGACTGACACGCCTCCAAAGGGGCGAGACTGTCATGAAGAACACGCATACGCTCCGTGTCACCAGAGAGTTAGGCCGTTCACGGCAAGGGATCTACCATCTATCCAAGGGTAGACTTGGATTAAGATTGCATCATATCCATACGAGTCCAAAGACTCAGTAGAACTTGGTCTTTTACCTCCTTCAGTAGTGTTTTTTGTATGACGAACTCTGTACAATGAGGTCATTGACCAGTACATGATCAGTCCACGCAAAGGTATCCGTACAGGCCACTAGTCACTACCAGGGGCCCTCAAAACCTGGAAAAAACAAAAGGTTTTCACAGTTTCAAATGTACCAAAACCATGTTTTTTTGCTAGGGAAAAGCTGGATGCAGAGTTGCCCACGAAGAAGCCCGCTTCCGCTTTCGTCGGCTTCATGGGGCCATTGGACTGGCGTGCCTTGCCCGCTTCTTCCGCGGCCTTCTCAGCCGAGACACCTGGAAGGTCAAGGCGCCACCAGTCCGGCGTTCGTGCGAACACGCGGCACGGCGAACGCGGAGAACCCCACAGTCTGGCGCGTCAGTCGTGGGAACATCGGTGTCCCATGTGTGTTTTGGGCGTCCGTCCAAGCGAGCAACATCGGTTTCCAGGTCCGGCGGTCAAAGCTGAGGTGAAACCGCAAAACCTTGCCGTACCGGTGGTAGGTGACCGCATCACTCGGCCAAGATCGAAGCACGCGATCACCGATTTCGCAGGCGTGCGAGCAACGCTTGGTCACCAAGTAGCAAAGACATGGCTGTTGAAGATCATCCATGGAGCGTCTGGGTAAGAATATATCGTAAATCCATGGGAGTTCAGTCAAATTTCACATACAAAAGGCGACGATGGCTGAGGTGTTTACCTTGATCCATGGCTTGAAGCTGTCAGCTTATTTGGACTCTATATGACAGTTTCTTGAACCTCTCTTTCATCGCCCCAGGTTTGCACATAAGATCGAACATGACTGGGTGACGCCGGTTGGAAATACATGCAGTGACCCTCATGCCAAAATTATCGAGAAACCTGTGCAATGCTATGCATATATGGCAATGCAGCTCGACCTCGCAGTTGCGTGAAGCTCTCAAGCCTTCGACTCTACGGGGAATTCAATGTGAATTCAGCATGCAAAAGGCCATTCGGCCCGTTTGGAGTCTCACCTCTTTGGGGATTTATATAAGTAAAGGATCTCAAGGATGGTCACTTTGAAGGGTCCGGTATGACATGGTATGACATGTGGGCCCTGTTCCCTCAGCCGAACCTGCAGCAATGGCGGCTTCCACAGCCGCATTGCTGGCTGCCTGTCCGTTGAAAAAGGTGAAACATGTTGTGCACCAAGGAAAACATTCAACCACTGAATGTTTCTTGGTTGATCGAAACATTTCGATACCAATTCAGGAGGACCGAAACCAAGCCATTCTGAGGGCCATTGGACACCCTTGGCGTCCGAAGCAGAAGAATCTTGAAACATCCGATTTCGCACCACCCTTTGAACCACTGGCCCAGTGATGGGGCGCCTCTTTGGCTGCTTCACCCACTTGCTCTTTGGGCAGCTGGGCTACTTCAGCGGTCTTCGTTGCCTCAGCTCTCACGCCGTTCAGGCGGTGGCTTGATGCTTCCGGCGTTGAAACGACTTTTCCCTAGGGCTCCAACCACTCCAACCGCCACATCCTCAGATGGTTAGACCCCAAAACACGCACCCCCACCACCTTCGAGACGGAGGTAGGCCAGGAGGTTTGGGGGATTTGGGTGACTTGGAAAGGGCTTCAGAATGACATCCACTGGGACCACCGAACCCGCCGAACCAAACGAGTCGGCCCTCGGTTCAGGGTCGAACGAGAGAAGCAGGTGGACTCGGGTCCACCTGCGGTTCTTCCGTGGGAACTGCCTGGAATCCACAGGGAGAGAACAAAAGCGGTGAAAAACCTTGGGGGATTGGCACAAAACAATATGCATGGCTGTGGGTCAAAACCGGGCTACCTGGGTTGACCAGCCAAAATGAACAGAATGAACAGCTACCTAGGTCAACCTACCCTGGTTTGGGGAAGGGTCTTGACCCACAGCCAGGCCAGGGCCAGCAGGATGGACATCATGCGTGTCCAACCAGATACGGATCCTTTAAGCCGTATAAACCAAGGCCTACATGCCCAAAGGATGGTTCAAACACAGAAAGTAACAAACAAAAAAGGTGTGGCTTTGGACGAAAAAACACGTACACACATACTACAGAAGGCCATAGTTTTAGACTAGACCATTGGTATACATTGTTAGTGTCATGTACCTTCTCTTGTCGCCCGCCCTTGTTGGAATTGGAACTTCCGTTCCGTGGACGTTCCCATCCCAGTGTGCTTGATGAAGCTGGATATTCGTTGAAGGCAATGAACGCGGAACAAGACTATATAGCAAACAAACCAGTCACTTCCACGAGGCCCCTCCATGAGCCTTCATTTTTCCTTGCCCTTCATCAAAGATTCTTTTCCTAAACAATTGTTTCAAGATGTTTCAAGCACAGAACAATTCATACAATTACATCAGCTATCTCGTGAAAAAGGCCGTTGTATTCTAGCGCAAGGTTACGGACGCCCCTCTAGCTCCTTGTTTTCCGTCTTTGGGGGAAGATGGAACTTGCGGCTGCCCTCGCTCTGCTCTCTCCAAGCCACCAGCTATATAGCTATATTATATTATATTAGCTAAGCTATATATGCAACTGTCCGATTTCTTCGCCTCCCCGGACCTGCTTCGTTCGACCGCACCGTGCCGCCTGGTGACCGCACGGCTGGCCTCCACCGCAGCGTCTCGCACGGGATCTCGAGTGATCTGGCGGAGAGACGGCGGTCGATGGGTCGACGTCCCAGCGAAGCGTTGCGTAGAACATCCAGCGGTTCTTTCACCCCTTCTCTCTTCAGGTCCAACGGCCAACATCACTGGCTCCTGCGAATTCTGGGTTGGGCGTCAGCCAAACTTTGGATCCCTTCTCCCCACCCCGGCGAGGCCACCAAACCACATGGACCGGACGTTGGCTTGCCGTGAGGGGTGGGCCCTGTTTTGGGGGGTAGCTCCGCACCACCGGTGGTTTTAGTCTTGCACCCGTTGAACATGACACATCCCATCCACCTTCGATCAAAACGTTCACAGCTTTTGGCGATTTCGCCAGCAGCAAAAAAAAACAAAAACACCTCAAGAGAGCAACAAACCATTTATATTTCTTGCTTATCGTCTTATTCACTGATGTTTGTTTCAGTTGGTCCCACTCCTGTCTCTGCTTCTCGTGCACCGCTGTGGCGCGCAGCGCCCAGTACCGTCGGACGGTCACCGTCCGTGCTTCCTCGCCTGCGCCACTTCGGCTGCGGCCTGCCCCGCCGCCAAAGCGGAGAGCTGGGCGGCCTGGGGTTCGGCCGAGCCGAAGGGCGCGGTCGGCCTGGAGTTGGGTCAGCGTTTGAGGGGTTCCATGTATGGATTCTTTGAGGCTATATGTGACACTTTTAAGTTGATCTTGTTTAAAAACACTGACGGTTGCTCCAAAATTGATGTCCACAATCGTTTGAACCAACAAAACTGACTAATCACCAAACAACTTCAAGTTGAAAGGGTTTGCAGGAGCACAGTGAGTGATGGACACACAGTGCCAAGTGATGCACTGCCGTGAGTCAGGAGGATGCTTTTTGGTACACCCCAAAAGCTTTTCAGTGTCTCCACTGGCTGCTTTGAGACCAAACACTTCACTCAAAATCAAAAATCAACATCGCTACCGCTGTGAACCACCCCGGAAGCACTTGAATCACATCTTATATAACCCATCTTTAGCCCTCAAACTCCTTTAATTATTTCCCCTTCAAATTCAAATAACAAAACAACATCAAACAACACATCATTCCAATATCATTCCATCTCCACACCCTCTCAACGATCGCATTCCCCACCCCACCTGTTGTGGGTCCATTCCTTCAGCCACCGCCGCCTCTTGCGCCGCTTGGGCGGCCTCGAGCTCCCCGGTGCGGCTCCACGGGCGTGTCACCGGTGAAACGTGTGGACCGTCGTCGGGTTTGATGGTCCGTCTCAGTGGTCATGTTGATCTGAAGTGGTCCTTTCTTTTTTGGAAAGTAAGCATTTCTGATGTCTTGCCTGTTGACATGGAATTATTGAACAACTCTCCATGGTCCATCAGGGTATGTCTTGCCTCTTTTCTGTTCTGAGGGGGCGCGCCACAGAGTTGAGAAACAGTCAGCTATGTCGCTACGTTGGACTTGAATATTGAAGCACTTCCCAAACAGGACCTGTCTGGGACTGCCTTTTTTGCCGAGAAAAGGCCAGGGGTGGTTGAACCGTTTCAAGCTCCGCGTGCAGCCGCGGCACGACCTCTGATGCTTGCTGAAGATTCCCAGCATGGACCGCCGCCTATACAGCAGGCAGGGATGGTGGCTACAAACACCCCGCCACTTCTTGTGGAAGTTGAATACACACTTCCTTGGGACCTGGGTTGGTCTCTTTAGCTGTTGGGACCAAACAGAAGACCAACGCAGGTCCCAAACACTTCCTGTTTTGTTTGGAGGCAAAAGCAATGGGCCTCATGAACGGTGCTGACAGTCATCGACTGCTGAATTCTGCGTCACCCCAAATTCACCCACTGCCGGTGATTTGGTGGTCCAAACTGCCGGGTACACATGGTATAAACTAGCTAATCCCGAGTTTCTCTTAATAGGGGTGGGCCCGGGTGTGTTTAAATAGGTGGATCAGGGTTATTGTGTTTCACCTTCTCATGTGGCTTTGTTTTCTCTTGGCCCCCCGTTGGACCGATCCGATCACTCGAAGCATCTTGAAGAAACCAACACGCTCGGCGGCAACAAGCTCTGCGATGATCGGGGCTCCGTAATATGGCTAACATGTCCACTCAATGTTTCATCAAGTACCAGGACCCTAAGGGGTGGTTAATGGACACCCCTTACCTCAAAGGGGCTATAGACACCCCCTTAATGAGCCCTGGTAGCTGGATCTGCTTTTATTCCGCCCGCCCGGGGTGGAATTGCAGGCCCAAACACTTCTCAATAAAACCCAAACGGTGAGAGAAAAGCCCGATTGGCTGGACAGTTCAACCTCTCAATGCGGTTAATCATCATAGGTCATCATTGCTCCTCTATCCCACAGACTCCATGGGACTGCCAATATATGCCGATCAATTGACCCCTTTTCAACCACCCCTGGCCGGATGACACGGACCGAGGGTGAAGGCAAAAAGCGAACGAAAGGGTGAAGAACCGCCGTCACGTCGGGCAACAAGTCACGTCGTGCTACACAAACCACCTCCAACCGCCCCAAAACCTTACATACTGTATCGTCACTGTAGTCTCTTGATTAATAGACCCACCCAGTTGAAGTGGAACATCCTCTTCACAGGGGGGGGTTATTCATCAAGAGTCTACATTCTACATTACTTGTTCTACATCCAGAGTGACCTGCCTTCCCTCAACCGGCTCCATACAAATGTCCTTCCTGAGCAGTCAAGGAATATGTCTTGACATCAGAGTCTAGACTAGTGGCTAAACCCCCCTCCTCGTGGTTCCGTTAGCATTTTCGCATGTTCATCGTCTACTGGTGGCTCAACCCCTGTCAAGTGAACTGTTGCTTGTTCATCGTCTCACTCTATGTACTCAACACTGTACTGCGGGTGGTAACATACCTTCTTTTGTTCCGGCGCAAGCTGGTTCAGCTGATGTGTCCGCAAGTTCCATGGTGAGTGGAATCCCATATCCCGGAATCAGGTTTGATTGTTCTCGTGATCTAACTTCACTTTGATGATCTGCTTTTCCTTTTGGAGAAACTTTGCTGGCAAATGTTCTCCATGGAGAAACTTGTCATTATATGCGCAATCCAGTTTATGCAGACACACTGCGCCACGCAGTGCTTAAAACAACTTGACCCGCACGGCGGAACACTAGTCCCGTCTCTTCCTGACATTGGAGAGTGCACATAAATAACTTTAAACCGTAGATGTGTTCTGCACAGGGAAAACCAACACCATCCAACTAAAATGTGTCCCTTTCAGCTTTTCCGACAAACAACGCTGCCCTGCAGCGTTGCCTCCCCAAAGAGTCGTCGAAAGTCGGGGGTGGAGGGAGCGGAGCACCCCAAAGATCTTTCAAGCAAATCGAATTGCGCCCCCAAGATCAAACAGGTTCACCATGGATAACCTACACTGAGTCTACACACACCATACCTAGGTCTTCCAACCAACTCTGCCCCAGTAATCACATGCAAAACACATACAAACAGGACATTAGTAGAGAGTTGGCACCCCCAACACAAAAAGAGTTCTGGTGTCCTCATTCTCTACTTCACCCTCAAGCTGCACTGTTCCTCGGGCGCCTTCGTCGCCTGCGCAGCAGCGCCCCGCGCCGCTTGCTCAGCGCTCGCGAGCGCGCGCTCCTGCAGGGCACTGCCGTTCAGGCCGTTCCCATAGGATCGGCTCAAATAGCTTCAAGAAGTATTCCATTGAAAAGGGGTCATCCTGCTTCAAATATCTGAACATATCCATTGATCGGCTTCAAGACCCTTTTCGGATAGTGTTATAGGATATGTTCAGTTATTTTTTCCTTCTTGAAGGCTCAGTTCTACCCTCTCCGAAAAGGGTCTTTTTGTTCAAGGTTTGGAGTCCCAGAGATGTTTGACCTAGACTTTTGGTATCCACAACTGTCGAACTCATCCCAGATCGATCGCAGTGGTCCGGTTGCGTGACGTTGGTGGTTCCGCCTCACTGGAAGTGGAACTGGAACTTCTATGTTTCTGACGTCTGATTTGGATTCCAAAGAACTATACCCTAGAAGTCGAACCACCATTAGTTTTGATAGCCTTTACCAAACAACAATTGTTTTACTAAGGGTTTTACACTACGAAACCAGATCGACCATCTTAAAAATGGTCTTTGACTTCCAGGCTATAAGTTTTATATAGGGTCTTGGACTCACCGAATTTGGAAACCCAATAGATTGAGTTAGACTATTTTTGGTCTATAAGCTATTCCGTAGAAATCTAGCGATGTCCTAAAAATTTATCGATTTCCTAGACCTGGTTTTCAGCAAACTCCGACCAAAGTCCGACCAAACTCTGACCCTGGAGTCACAAAGTCTTGGAAGGGTTGCAAAATTGGCCCACCAAACTCCCATCAAACTCCGACCCAGCGCCAAACAAGGGGGGCGAAAGTCCGACCGAGTTTCTACCAAACTACGACCCCATGTCCGCCCAAAAATCTATATATTTGGTAAACTAATAAGAAAAAATCTACCAATCTTGAAGAATAGATTGTACTCGTTCTAACTAATAAATAGTGCAGGAATTCATCATAATTCCATCGGATTTCATGACCCAAAAATCCACGCACCGAAAAATCCTCCCGAAGACGCGGATGACCACGAAATCCGGTTCGACCAGTCCCAGGTGCTGAACTCGATTGCGCGAGGTGGCTACGGCGTCCCGTGGTGTTTGAGTTGACAAGTTAGGACGTCCCGTATCGTGTCGTTTTTCAGTGTTTTGGTCCTTCCACAACTTTTTGGCATTCCAAGCAGGAAATGACACCATGTAACATAAAGCAACAACAGCAGCAGCAGCAGCAAGCCAGCAGCAGCAAAGCAGCAAGCAAAAGCAAGCAGCAGCAGCAGCAGCAGCAGCAGCAGCAGCAGCAAGAGCAGGCAGCAACAGCAGGAGCAGCAAAGCAGTACCAAGCCAAGTGTACGCGTGGGATCTTGTCGTGATTTGTGAGAAAACTTACCTTGTGAGATATTGTGAGGTATCGTTGGGAAGGCCCATACATGGAAGCAATAAGGGATCCGCACTGTTTCCCTAGCTCTTCCCATGATCGAGGTCAAGCTGAGTAGACCCCTGTGCAGCCCAACAAACGGCTCCAAGCTCTGACAACTCTCTAAGGACCTTCCCGTCTCACTGGCTGCAACGACTGGCTGCAAGTCTTAGAGGTATCGTTTTTAGGACGTCCCCTATTGTTTTTCGAGGACAACATAAACACAAATACTGGCTGCATGCAACACCCCAGTTAAAACATGTTTAAAACATCATATCTATACATGGTTCGACGATAGTTTTGTCTCTGACTTATATAATTTAATGATGATTCCAGGGAGTGTAGATTCTCCTGTTGTTCATATTATGTGTTTTTATGTTGTTTCTATAGTTGCTTCATGTTGCTTCTCTATCGGTCCCCTGCCCTTTGTCTTCACTTTCACTCCAAAAACCGTTCCGTTCGTTTTCGTCTCAGAAACAAACGATGGAACCGACGGAACCGACGGAAACCACGCAGAAAGCCGACGGAAACCACGGCGGAACTGCACGAAGTTCCGGGTTCGTCGGCTGACGGTCTGGCAAGTGATGGCGCAAACATGTCGGCTACGTAGGTGCCAAACGTGCTTTTTCCTTCTTACTAGGGATGCACACCACAAAACAGCAAGTACAGATCTCATGTTGTTTTGACTTCTCCAAAATGCTTCTCCTACCCATCAACGTGAGCCTACCCATCACAGTGTGCACACTTCCTGCCAGTCTTGCGAAGCGAATTACCGACACCCTACCGCTGCCGACGCCGAGAACGCACCGAGTCAGGTTTACGCTTCGATCGATCGCGCCATCGCCAGTGCGGAGGCCAATGGAACCACATCTACCACCAAATCCAGCCAGACCCTTGCAAATCAAGGCCGTGGCCAATCCAGCAAACTTCCTCTCCTCCCTCTGGAAGTTCACCCTTATCTCACCCCAACTCTTCGTCCGCAACACGTGTCTCCGAGTGTCTCCTGGGCGCGCTGTGCGGCTGCAGCGCCCAAAGCCACAGCCTTGGCCTGACGAAGTGGACCAGCTGCTGATCGCACAGGCAGCACAACAACACAGGACCTAATCTCTGCAGGATTCGGCTGAAGAGGTCGTGACCCTGAAGAGTCCCTCCAACATCCTCGAACTTCAGCTTCAGTTTCTGACCCGAAATGGAGTCTCTATGAGAGTGACCTATTCCAGCTGACCAGCTTGTGACCACGTCCGCGGCACCCGCCGTGGGAGTTGGCTCCCTCTTTGTCTGGGATCTCGGCTCCAAGAAGCGAAGTGGATGAAGAGAATCCGGATTCGGGTGCAGAATTCCAACCGCTGCTAGTCCTACCTCTTCCCCAATTCGCCGCTGAAGCATCCTCCGCTTCTTCCATCGGCTCGGCGGATCGGAAACCGTCGACCGGCGGTTTCGGTGATTCATCACCAGCTCCGGAGCTGAGGAGCTCGGGGGGTTGGGTGGATCCTCTCCAGAGTGAGCACACCGTAGACCTGCCAAACATGGAGATTTGTATATTTTTTGTCACCAATTGGTGAAGAACACGAAGATGACATCATCGTGGAACTGTGAGCAACCCGTGAACATTTGCTGGCTCCACCATTCTAGGTTTATCATTCAGCACCTGGGTTTTGCAACGTTCCGTCTTCAGGACTTCAGGACTGAATTTTCGAATGTGTTTGAAGGTGAAAAGAACACTTGTTAGGAACAAGACGCTATTAGGGGGGGCCATCGCTACTAGGAGCAAGGACGCTACTAGGGGCTCCTGGCCTTACTACTTGGAACAAGAACGCTATTAGGGGCTCCTGCCATCGCTACTAGGAGCAAGGACGGCTCCCTCTCTGGCCCTTCCTCCCCTGCCTCTTCCGCCCCCGCCGCCCGCGCTGCGGCTTCCGCCGCTTGGGCGGCCTCGACCGGCGCCTGGCACCGCTGGCGGCTGGCGGAGTGGATAAGGGATGGTGAATCAAAAGCCCTCAGCCAAGCATATCTTGACCATCACAAGGTGTAGGTGTAGAATTCACATTGAAAATGGTATTGAGACACATGTAAATGTACACAATGATACATAATACATGTCCGTGTTCCCAGCTCGGCGGTCCAAGCCGCACAAAAAGAACCCTTCAAGTGGGATGAAACGGGTTCGTCGCAGGTTGCGACAAAAACACTTTCTCCAAAATATAGCAACATATAGCAACCTCGTTCGAATTTCTGCAGCCCAACATAGCCCAACCTTGGCCAAATCTTCACCACGTATTTCCCCTCCCAGTTGTAACCTTAGTGTTTCAACCAATGCTTCCAGTGGGAACCCGTTGAGCCCCTTCGGGGACTCGAGGAACGGACGGAGTCGACTCCGGTAGAAGACGTGAGACGTCCCCGAACCTTCCATGGAGCTTTTTGAGAGGTCTCCGAACCTTTTGAGAGGTCTCCGCCACATGATTTCGACTACTTGGAACTCTCCAACATCGTGGACACTCGTTTTTTTTCCGCAGAACCACTCCACCAGTGACCGTTTGGCCATCTGGTTTCCCAAACAGTGACCTGTCTGAAGTGGCATCGACCTTCATTGAACCCCTTTTCAACCACCCCAATGTATGTGAATATGCCAGTCCCATCAGTCGTGTAGACGGCTTTGGAGGGTGTATAATATCTCAAGTCACCTATAGCGGATGCGGGGAAGGGGCCCCACCTTTCGCCTTGTACTATACCGGGTCTCTCTTTGTTTTGTGTGTTGGCGTATAGGAACTGCGGTGGATGAACCGGATTGTCACTCTTCGCCCCTTCGTCCCTACAAGCCGCTCCTAAGGCACTCTAAAGTAACGCTTTCAGATCCTTTACTTCCTTCAGAATATTCAGAGTTAACTACCAGGCAAGCTGCAAAAACGGAACAAAACACAAACAAATCCAACCAACAGTGAGATGGTGCATCACCCCCGAATCCTGCAATTGCACCCCGGCACCCCGAACCCTTCGAACCCTTCGCCTCCGTCGGAACCTTCGCAGACCTGGCGGCAGCCTCGCCGCAGCTAACGGCGGCCAGGTCCTTGGGGTCGAAACTCCCGAAATGCACAGGTCCTCCATCTTCTTGGGTTGAGATATATATGATTTACCCTATTCCTCAGGTTCGGTATGACTGGACACTGGCACCCACCCCAGTCCCACCTCCTTTAAACTGTTTTTGCCTCAAGGATAATTTCATGGTCATCCGATTTATTTTAGGGAATGTAGTCCTTTATATATCCCTAGTTTCCTCAGATCAGAGACATGGTATGCAAGTACAAACTCAAACCCGAGGGTTAGTTGCACCCCATGAAACCCAACAAAGAACACTCTTCCAAAACCCTTTGTAAGTTGCAAAGTTACATCCACAAATACCCGGAACTGCAGGGACTGGAACTACATGTTCGCCTAACAAAAGGTATACTGCTAGGATTAGGAGATGATAAGGTTGAAATGCCAACGCTACGAAAAATATTTATAATCTATAAAATTCATATATGTCTTGCGGGGTTATCAGTGCCACACAGCGGAACACTGTGATGCTCCTTCCGGGCCATACCGGCCTTGCCGCCCGTCCAATCCACCAATCACTCACATCGCAGCGTCTGCTGCGCTAACTTTGGTGGTCTGCAGCTGGCGGGCCGCTTCTTGGGCTGCGTGGCCTGCCTGCAAGTGGACGCTGTCGACATTCGACACGACCTGTCTGACAGTGCCATATTGACCCACCCCATTCACCCCAGCTTGTCGACCCCAAGTGATCGGCAACACGATCACGGAGTGTCTATACATTCATGTATACATGACCATGGCATGCAGCATGCTATGGTTTTGCCTCAAACATCGGATGCCCATAGCAAAAATCCTGCGGACCGACGGTATACCCACTTTTACCAGTTCCAAACACCGGGAAATTTCTAGATTGATGATGCATGGATGATGCATGTCTGTGCATGATGATGCATGTAGTGTGATGGCGGCATATGGAAGCACATTATAATAGGCACAGGCGCGAGAGGACACTGATATGAACATTTGCTGCGGTTCCCACAAAACACGCTACCCTGCTAAGTACTGTGCCTGCCACGACATCTGCACTTCAAGGTTCACAAAGCGCTGCGCCTGCCGCTAAATCTGCAAGGTACTGCGCCTGTCACAAAATCGGCACTTGAAGGTCCACAACTGCGCATGAAACGAAATCTGCGACGTCAAGATTCACATCACGCAGCCCTGCCAAGGCGATTCGCAGGAAGAGTATTGAACACATAAGATACAACACCATCAGTGGGCGGGAAGAGCATGAAGAGATTGATCACAAGAATGATGCTTGACTCCTCTCAATGGTGGCGGCGTCAATTCATCTGATGTGCTCTGTGTCTCGTGGTCATCCACCGACTCAAAGATCACTGTAATCTTCTCATGAGACTTCTTGCTGCGACTTGCTCGCAGAAACCTCATGATTATACCACAACGAGAGCGCAGTCTCGAAGAGCACCCGCGCCAGCCCACCAGATTCTGCGAGCCTGCGCAGTCGAAATGCGCTAAATAGCGAACTAGCTGGACGCGGATGGGTGAACCTCCGATCACACACCCGGCCATAACACCTATACTGTACTGTTTGGGGTAAAATCAGTTGAAGCTCTTGAAATTCCCAAAGTATATCCCTTTCCAAGCTCTTTGGAATCAGTTTTCGGATCCTTCAAGCCCCTTTCCGCGTGGAATTTACGCGTGGGGGACGGATCGAGGAGTGGTTCTCTCCGCCTCTTGGGCCGCCTCGAGCGAAGTCTTTCCGGCGGAGATCGCAGCCTCGTTGCCGCGCGAACAACGAACAGGAGCAACGAAACAGATCAGATGGTGATTCGGTGGGTGGTGTCCCAGATAGTTTGATGATACGTATTCATAATATGGGATAATCCTATGATACACTATCTTATTGAGTATCCATCTTATTCGATTTTGGCATCTGGTGCCCCGAAAGAATCCCAGAGCTTTTCTTCTGCGAAGTGACCTGAACACATCCGAAATTGACTTGAGATCACGAAAAGATCTGTAAACGGTCACTATATGGGACTCCCAAGAAGGTCACTTTGAAGAAGCTGGAAAGCAGTTGTCGCGTTGGTTTGGTTCAAGGTCCACTTCCTTTGCCCCCCAAAGAGGTAGCCCTTCCTTGTCCCTCACACTCCGCGGGCGACAAAATGGCTCATCGAATCACGTCCAGAAGGTGTTGCTGAGTTGGAATCAATCTTACGCGACCACTTGAGCTACGAGAGGTGTCTGCCACCCAAGGGGGGGATTCTTCCCGTCCATTCAAGGCCAAAGGAGCGCCCAAAGCCGGGGTATCTGGACTGGAGCGTCTGACTACTGAGCGGTCTGAATCGAATGCAAGAAATATATCCGAATGTGGCCAGCAGAAGTTTGCCGATTAAAGCATCTGCTGATGGAAATGCGGGATGGATCCTCTTTCTCACAAATCTGAACCAACATGTCAAACCCATTGGCCCCCGAACCTCACCTTCCGTGCAACTCCCCTAGGTCTCTCACTAAGGCTTGCTTTGGGTCGCAGGGATTCTGTAGATTCCTTGTCAGGCGCCATCGGCAACAGCCAGGGTACTGCAAAAGCGCCAGTGACTGCTGCTTGAACGGCCAGCTCTGCGGATTGCTCCTGCCAAGGTTTTGGCACCGCGGATTCCTCCCCTTGGTGTAACCGCTTCGCCAAAAGAAGAGCGAACGCCAGCTCTTGCAAACATGATGGAACGCCATAAACGTGTGTCACAACACTGAATCCACATGGCCTGGCCAACGTTTCAGTCAGATCAACTCCCTTTCTTTCCCTTCTACTCATGGAAAATCCACAGAAACCGGTTTCCGCCACTTCGTGGCAGTTCTTCCTGCGCCAAGCCCGCCCCAACCACCAACCACCGCGGGGCCGCCGACTCGGCGCTCCGGCGGCAAGCCCAGCTGCGCTGCTGCTGTCTGGGCAGCAGTGGTGGTGGCTGCAAGATCACCTCCTCGCCGGGGGTCGTGGAGGTTGTGAAATCCGGAGTCGCTCAGATTTACAGAGCTTCTTAAATGGACTGGCTTATTTGAGATCCATGTGTTCCAAAGAAAAGGAACGTCCGGCAAAAGCGCAAGTTGTTTTTTCAGAACGGTTTGGTGGGGGGGATGATGGGAATGTTCATCGACACGACTGGCCAAATAAGATCTGGACATGGCAGTGTTCTTTCAACAGGAAACTTGGTCCGTGAAACATGTTTCGCACTGGAACAATTTGGAACATACAGTTGAGTTCATGGCAAGGTAACGGTCTGGCCCTTTACTGACAAAGACTTCTTAAACGTGCCAGAAACACAACCAAGTAATGGTGTCATCAGGTATCGTCTACCAAGGGAGGTGTTTCCCATCGCTGAAGCAAGAAACCGGAGCATTGGGCACCCCAATGCAAAGACTTGGAGTACTAAGAGAAACTCGTTCACCAAATCCACTCCCCATGCCCTAGAGATCCAAATATATACCTTCTCAGAAGGTACTTGGACCCTCCAAACCTACATAACAGTGTCTCCAATCACCTTCTCAGAGGGTATGTGGATCCCTATAGGGATGGAACCCTCAGAAATTTCGCGGTTGAAAATCGATTCTGAAAGTCTATAATTAAGGGCCGATCAGTTCGGGACCCTTCTGCCTCACAAGAAGGCCCTCTGGAAAACGGTGTTTCCGGGAGTTTTCCTCAAAGAAAAAACACCACACCAATTTTGGATTTCCCTTTTTCCTGCTGTTTTCAGGGTCCAGATCCGAGTCTCAATAGGGCCGAAAACATAAAAAAAAAAAACAGCCCGGCTCCCACACCGCAACGCTTCCCCCCGCTGATCTCCTCCTGCTGCCTGTCCCGCGTCGTGGACGTCAGGTCTTTCTAGACGGGACCCATGGGACTGGCATTAACCTCCCCAATGTAATGTTAACAATGAAAGACTTCGTTCTAAGCACTTAAGCACATGTAAATGCTGCACACGGCTTGGGGTGAAAGGCGGGACCTGACTCGACCCCGGCTCAGGATGCGGACGCTGCGACCCCCACATGGTGCCGACCCGTGAGGCGGATCGCAGGGAGGTGAAGCAACCTCCGCCCTCTAAGTGATGGGTGCCAAACAGTTTCCGTGTCTGAAAGTTCACACTGTGAAACTTTTTGTTCTCCACCTGCCAGGTGAGGGTTGCTAGATTTTATGTCACATGCCTACCGCGAGCTTCGGCTGGCAGCGTTCCGCGCCGGACCTGAATCGCGAGTCAGATATGCCAGATAGAATGCCAGAAGGAGTGTCAGAAGATATGCCAAATAGAATGTCAGAAGAGATTCAAGAAAGAAAGTCAGCAAATATGCCAAATAGCATGCCATAATGAATGTCAGAAGAGATGCTAGAAAGAATTATTGTCAGATTGAAAATGCAATGGTGGGGATCACTGGAAGTACTGTTTAACCCTAAAATTGTTCAATGACCGCCTTCAGCAGTTCCATGGCACCCTTCAGCACCCTTCACACCTCCACGACCCCTGGATGGGACAAAGAACGAAGCTTTGAGGTATTCCTTTGGCGGAAAGCATCCCCACGACCAAGGCCAACACTTGAAGGGAAACCATCCCCACAACCAGCTCTTGTGCTTGGGCAGGCATCCTGAGGAAGTACCTTGGCTAAAGACTTTGAAGGATGTACATTCATCAAGAAGGCCATCCCGTGAATCGAACATCGTACCCCTCCATCCTCTTCCGCTTAGAGACCTACCCACCCTCTCTTCGACCCCCAACGAACCCCCACAGCGCACTCCAAACCCGCCTTGGCGGCCTCGGCCACCTGCGCCTTCTGCGCTTCCAGGGCCCTTTGCGCCGCCCGGCGCGCGGACTGAAGGCCAGCCTCCGGCAGACGCGTGGACAGGTTTGAACGTAAGCTGGCCATTGGAGCCGGACCTATCCATGTATCTAATCCATGGTGACAGGCTCGACATATTTCACAAACAACAAACACCATTTGCAGGAACCTTGACTGCATCCAATGTGTGTTTGACCTTCCCAGTGGCTAATTCTGGAGTGTCCACAACTGGTCACGCAACGCCCCTCGGGCCCCTTCAAGATGGCCCAAGCACCGCCCTGCAAATGAAAATGGCATGGTCCAATGGTCCCCTGGAAACCGAAAAAGCTCTCCGACAAAATCAGCTCCAAACACCACCCAGTGCTGAACACCCCGATGGTGGAGCTTCCAAGTGGACCGAGCTTTTTGGTTTGATGTCAATGGCTGCCCACTTCAGACTTTTAAGTACGAGTACGTATCCAATTATACGACCATCATGACTATGACTTTGTGCGTCTCAGACCACAAACAAACCGAACGCACCAAACAAGTGTGCAACTCTCTAGCTCGCGCCAATCGCCCCAAGAAAGCGCCCAATTCGCGCCGAATTCGATCGCCAGTTCGCGACAAACACCGTCTTCGATCCGCCGGAATCGGCCTGCTCGGCCTCGGGCGGCGACAAGCCGGCGAGCTCCGCTGCCTTGGAGGCCTCGGACGGCGGAAGTGACCTTTTTTTTGCACGAGTGGAGACGCCATGTGTGCGGAATGCACAGGTCATCTTTCTAAAAGTGGAGACTCTGCAAGTTTAAAGAGGGGGAAAGACCACAAACACAACAAACCAAACCAAAACAAAACACCAAACAAAAAAAACAACAAGCAAGAACCTGCAGAGTTTCGCTCTGTACGTAAGGGTGAGACATGGTGAAACATGGGAACTGCTGCGCTACCCGGGCCTCGAATTCTCGGCTAAGCTGCTGTTCACTCGAACAATCCTGCATACCCCATTGATGCCACGTCGATGAAATCTTTCATCGGTTGGTTTCCGACGCTTGCTCCAGCAATGATCCCCCTCGGGATATGCGATGCACGAATCAGCGGGCTCTTGAATTCGAACTTACCATTTTGCTCCTCTGCACTGAGGGCATCCAGGCTCGGAACCATAACCCTCGCTGTGATCGAAGGAGTGTCATCTGGACATACTCCAATGATTCGGCGTCATGTGCAAACGCCTCCCCACACTGAGCAGCCCCCCAAGTTAAAGAAGTTAAAAACTTCCTCAACATAGGTTATAACTAGGGATAACATATGTTATAACCTATGCTAAGTTCGATAAGTTCCTTGGAAGTTATAACACAAATATAAGTAAGTTCTAAAACATGTGAAATTTATAACATAGTTATGACACATGCTATGTTGAAGCTTGCAGAACTTAGAAACAAGTTACGGAAGTTATTTTTTATGTTTGTTTTTTTGATGATTTGTAAGTTCTGTGCAAAAAACAGTATATTCACCAACAAAGTTAATAAGTGCTCACATTGTGCAGGATTCGTTGATTCTTTTGGCGGTTGTCTGCCCAGGCTGTGTGAGATGCACCATGATGCACATGTGACATTTTTTAATTGTTGTTGTTCAGAGGGACGCGCGGCAAAGGGGCACGTCCTTGCAAGCCATGGCACGCTCTTAGATGCAGCAGTGGGAACTTTTCCCATGCTATGTGGAAGCAAAGTGCTGGGACAGGTTCCGATCTCCAGAGCTTGCATTCCGAAAAAGAACGCAATGCAATTATTTAACCTTTGGCGGTTGTTCTGCCCAGAAATGCAATCTTGTATGGAAAGAAAACTTTTTGTGTGCAGACATACCGATCATCTTTTTGGCGATAGAAACGGAAGGCGCAGGATACAGAGAGATACACAGGGATACATTGGGATACACGTGTATCCCGGTGTATCCCGGTGTATCCCCTCACCAGGATACACCGGGATACATTGGGATACACGTGTATCCCAATGTATCCCGGTGTATCTCCTCACCAGCAAAAACAGGGATACATTGGGATACACGTGTATCCCAATGTATCCTGGTGTATCCCCGTGTGTCTCCTTATACGTCCTTACCACCAAGTTTTTTTTCTATGGCAGACACTTGAGGGCTCTAAAAAAGTTTTCTTGCGCAGTTTGAATCATGGAAGACACAACGCAGGTGGTGGCAACCGAAGCTGACACCCAGGCTGTCGGACATGAGCCTGAATCTGATGGCAGCCCCACATGTTGCAAGTGCGGTTCGGGGACGACAGCTGAATCCAATCGGTTGCAGCAATGTCTGGCGGCCAGCGTGGTGGTGCCACGAAGATGACAAAGTCGTGTGTCTGCTGTAAAAGTGCGACTGGCTGTGGACTTGTGGCGGTTGTCTGCCCAGAATTTGAAAACACTTGTGTTTTCTGTGTTTTTGGCTCGGCGGTTGTCTGCCCTGATTTTTGGCAACGCAAACAACTTAAGCAACTTAATAACTTCTACAACTTTCTTATAACTTACTCACACTTTCTTTCATATAACTTACTTATAACTTATTTTTAACTTCAGTAAGTGCTATAACTAAAGTTATAACTATGATAACTTGGGGGGCTGCTTAGTGCATTCGGGCTGTCTCCGCATCCGCAAGGCCTCTGGGCGTCATCGTAATGTAGTCATCGCAGAAAAAAGAACCCGAGACTTGCCTGAAATCGCAGCCGCAGCCCATCCTCATGGTGTCTCCAGGACAGTAGAGATCGACGATCAGAGCGAGGGCATCCATGCCCGCAGGGGACACCCAACAGGTAAAAATCGATTTCACCGCATCACCAGATGATGTGTTCGCTTCTGGGAGGAATGCCTCGATTCGCCCTTTGTTTGATGCAGTGGAAAGTGGATTGGCACGAGTGGCAGCGTCGTCCCGGCGAAGGCAGCGGCGACGTTTCCACGTAATGACACGGTTTCCTCAGGCGTCTTACCTGAAATATCTCTCTCCACCGAGTAGAGCCAGGCAGACTTCGCGGACTCCGTGGTCCTCAGCACCCGATCCGTAAAAAACCGCATCGCGTCTGCATAGTCTACATAGGTCATGAGTCGCTTCGCGGAATCCGCATCCCGCTCATAGAGATCTTTATCTTCGGGGCGACCTCCATCATTGTTCGGAGCCCTGCTCTCCGGGTCAGTTCCGGTCACCTGGGACTCGAAAAGGTCCGACAAGTCGTCCTCATTGCCATCTATGATCGAGAACGCCGCCAGTCTCGTCTTCAGTTCCTCGCTCTGGATTTCGGTCCTTCAGGACTAAGCCAAGGATTTTTCCAAGGATCATGCCGCTCTCTGCAGCTGACAAGTCTCTTTTCACTGAGGCGGCATTCACTGGTTTGATCATGCCAAATAGCGCTCCAGTTGTAAAGCTCGCACCTCACGTTAGTCAATCGCGTTCCTTTTGAATCCCGTCATGGGTGAAGGAGCCGAAGTGACCGGCGTGACCAGTGCAAGGCCGATCACCCAAGATCTCTATGAGGTCCGCATGCGGGGCTAGCTCCAGCAGGGGTAGGTGGAATGGTCTTTTGGAGCATAGAAAGGCTCTTGGCTGAACTGGTGGAATTGGAGGTTCTCTCATTATCTTATTCGACACATTGTCCATTTGAGATAGTTTTAGGATATTTTGTAACATTAATTAGGTAGCTACCCTACCATATCCCACTCTTCCAAAGTGCCAAACATAGTATTATATATGAATGTTTGCATGTGGCATCCGGATGTTCATCTAACGGTCGACCTAACAGCAGCAAGCGGTGCAGTGATGCACACTGCCGGCGAAGTAAAGGAAACTAGAAAGCTAAATATATAAGTAATGGTGGAACCTCTGGTTGGTGGTTTCAAGTCACTTGGAAAAACACATGAAAAACATCAGTCAGTGGGTTCACATCACCCTAGGTTAAAGGTTGAACATAACAATATCTGAAACCACCACCCAGCTAAGCTATAGGTCTGTTGACTTCATGACATGGTTTCCACGAGACGGCTACAGTCCCTAAAAACACTCCAAGCAACCCACATCACCGTGGTGGGTTGCAGCTAGCTTTGCACAACTGAAAGCACTGTTTATGAGGTCCTCCACATGAAAAGCAAAACACACAATCCTGTTTGGTGGTAGGATTCAAACAATCGTCATCCGAACGAAAGGGGCCATGCCATATCCAGTTCCATACGATGATTCTGGTGGGAGTGTGGATTGAGAGGGCCAATGGCACAGACCCCAATGTCGGTGGTTTAAAATGAACTGCCACATCTTGAGGACGGTCCGTGAGGTCTGCGCCATCGAACCTCTGAAACCACTGCGCCATTGTTGTTTAATAGCGAACACCTGCGTCGCGGTGACTCCAGTCGTGATTGGTGTGTCGTACCGAAACCGCTGAAAGCCATCGCTGCCATCACCTAGAACCACACTTCCCTGCTCCCTGAGGACCCCTGAGGACCCGGTCTGCCCGCTGCGCGACGCTTTCCTGGTCCTTTTCGGCAGCGCCGAAGGCGCCGATGGCCGCGGCCTGGTGAGATGGAGGTCCGTTGAAGAACCCTATAGGCTATCCCGGTAGCCTATAGTAGAGTCCTTTTCAGGTCACTTGACCTCTGTAGGTCAACTGATCCCTGCGAGTCACAGAGGTTTTGCTGGTGTAGACCGTGACGTCAGTGGACGACGTCGGGGCGCAGCACCGCACGCTCACGCTCCTCCACCCCCAACCGAACGGTGTTCTGGGGGGCCGATGGCCACGGCTCCACCGGTCTGGCCTCCGATCCCTCCTCCCTCCTCTACATGGAACTCCTGGTTGGTAAGCCTCATCTTCTATCCCATGGGGAAGGGCTGACCAACCAGGAATGTGATGGGCTGAAGGGGATAGAGATTGCATGACGTTTCACAGACTGTATCGGTCCGGACAGTCGGTCCGGAAAGGCCTTCGAAGAACGCTATATGCCATGCTGGAGAGTGACAATCGCACGACTTACCGACGGCCAGTGCCTCGGCAAACCCCCAAAGATCTTCGCTTCAGCCGCCGCCTCTCTCTGCTGTCGCAGCGTATTCCATGACGCTTCTGCCATTCTTCTTCCAAGACATACAGTCGCTTCTAACCTCCTTCCTCGCTGCTATCTTCTGCCATCTTCTGAGTCTTGAGCTCGTCATGACGGTCCAGTTGCACACCTTTGGAGCTGGCCTTCGCGACGAGAGAAGGTGAGCACTGGCCTTCGCCGACTCCGGGCGAGCTTCTCGCCGACGAGGGGGGGGTGGTCCGGGAGAAGGAAGGTGAGCCTCGTGAGCCTGGGAAAAGCATGGAACAGACTCCCTTCTTGCAGGCAGAGGTCCTCAGGCAGGGAATTGAGGTTCTGGGTGACCATCGACTTCCATGATGATTCTAAGAAGTGTCGCTTTTGCTCTACAAAGAAGCCCACCATGTGGAGCATGCCGAAGCAATTGAGCCATGTCCCAGGCATGACTATAATAGACATGTGTAGGGACTTGTCGTCTACCTGCACAAAAAGCCGTTTCCTCGGCGTCTTGCCGATTTCTCTCGAGAGGAACTATGACGGTGACGAGGATCACCGTGTGCACCGTGCGTCACCGTGTACCTCCTGAATGACCATTCACCATCAGAGTAGGTGGTGATGGGGATAACTGATCGATGGGACTCGCAGGTTCGTGGGTGGTCTCAGCAGGTTCATCCGAGGCTTTTGGAGCTCCACGTGGCTTTTCAAGCACGTCCCCATGGCATCAAGCGTCATCCAGGCTTTGTATGAGAACAGGTGGCAAAAGAGGCTCCCGTGAGCCCTTCTCGGTTCGCAAGCAGTGCAAGAGCACACTCCAAACACTGTCCCTTTCCGAAGAAAAAACAACAAAGCGAAGAAGGCACGGTTTGTGTTGGCTGGCAATCCAGGGCGCCACGTTCGCACGGTCGCACGTTACTGCTACCAGCTGTCGGGACATGGTCACCGTCCTCGACATGAAAGTCCACTTCCAGGTGTTCAATCACTTGGTACGTCAACCGTGGGAGGAGCAGCGGCTATTATAGTAGCATGCGAGAGCTGCTTGCCCGGTTTCGGCGGAATTTCCCGAGCGAGTGCCTGACCCAAAACGCGAACGAACGATGGAACTCTGTCGTTGTTCTTGCGGATGTGGAACTCATTACACTTACGTCCGGCTCCCAAGTCATGCTCGAGCAATGTTGGAAATTGGGTATAATGAAATGTATTAAAGAAACTGCTTTCCACAGGTTCCAAGCAAGTTCAATGTCAGCTAAACTATGTGGGGATGAAGAACCAAAAGCGCCCTTATCCATTCAGATTCTCAAAGACCTACAGGATCGATTTGCAAAGCCACGAAGCATGCAGCATGTGTTCAGCTTCCCGCCGCTGGCAAAACAGGGTCAACACACACACACACACATCCGCATTGCACGTTCGTGTGTTTTCTGACCTCTGATGGATCCATCTAAGCTGCGCTCGCCCTGCGATCTCTGCTCCACCGCCGCCCTTCGATCTCGGCCGGGGGGCGCTACCCCGTTCGCCCTCCGCCCTCGCTCCGCCTCGCCCGGCTGTCCCACGGATCCGGATCCGAGCCTCTGCAGCTTGCAAGGCAGCTTTTGCGGGGCGCATCCCTGCCTGAGCCCAGCGCATTCCCAAGACCGGCCTGCCCCTGCCTACCTGGCCTTATTTTTAGCACAGCTGTGGTGGTGCAATCCTGCAGTTGATGTATTGGTTCTTCGCACACAAACAATTGGTTCTTACACCCTACCTATGGACAGATCGGAGTTGATCTCTGCTTTGGAACATGTTCTTCATGTTCGCATTTCAGGTCATTGAACATCACGGGAGTTTCATTTGTACAGAATTGGCCTGGAGGAGGCTCTTTACTTTCCATGCTCCTATGGCATGTTCCAGTTTTAGATTGGGCATTATTTTTTTGTCCGCTGCAATACTGGCAATCTTGTTGCATAAAAAAGGAACTTGCACTTCTATTCAGGATATGTAATGTCAAACATATATTCAAGGTGGTTCAGTTCGATCCTCCATATTACTTGTAAGAATAGGGGTCACCTGAGATTCCAAACAGGTCTAGCACGTCTTCAACGACTCTGAGCTTCACACGCCGATGGCTGCCTTGAACGCAGCACGGCCGGCATCCTCGCCAACCTTCTCCTTGGAGGTCACAAACGTGACAGACCGTGGGAAGTGAGGTACACACACTACTTTGATTATAAGGTTTGGAAAGTCAGAAAACGCAGTGCCCAAACCAAGAAATAACAAATTATTGATTTTAACCAAGTTGTTGATGGTGATGAATTTGTTGGGTCACAACTATCCCATCTTGACTGTTGCCATTGTAACCCAACAGATTAACTCATTAACTCCTGGAGACAGATGGGTCCGACTAAACACCCCATATATATATATATATGGTCCCTCCAAGAAAAACGGAAAGTTCGACAGTCGATGAACTCAGTGTAAAAAGAAAGACATCACGATTTGTATTTCTGCACCCCTCACATACATATCACAAATGGCGACCTCGAGTCCCACAAACTATAGGCACTAAAGGTGATCCTGTGAGGTGAAGACAAATCAGGCGAGCGCAATCGTTGAACATATGGCTTCGACTGATGCTTCGACAGTGGCTGCTCAGTTCGTCACGTCTTTAACGCTCACGCAAGGGACAAGTCATGCACAAATTTTTGAAACCGCCCACCTTTTTGAGGGAAATAGAAGGCTTCAGGACTTAGGGACAAATACCACGGTCAAGTGTTGGCATCGGGGAGAGTTTCATCACGTATCTATGCATATGTCCTGCTAAAGATCGGATTTTAAGGTGATCGTACACCCTCTGGTGCTCTTTCCACGCTTTCCACGGCGAGTAGCCACATGAATCCAAACAAACCTTAGGAAAACCGTGACATCATCCATGAATGGTGAGTTTCTTAGAAGAACACATAACACATCTTCTTTTTGACCAACAAAGGTCACAAAGGTCAGTTTCCAGTGAGTTGGGACATCATCTTGTCTCTTCACTCTCAAGTCTGTCTCATCAGCCGATCTGCTTGCAGCCATGTCTCAGGCGAATGCCCCAGCGCCTCGGCGGCTGCTGCGCGGCCGGCAGCAGCGGCAGCGGCAGCCTGGCTGAGGTCAAGGTGGATGGAAATGGACGGAAGACATACTAGTTGCAATAGTATGACATCATTATGGATGTGGAAAGCTACCTGTTTGCAAAGGAAAATGGTCATCCAAGGGGTCGTGCATGGTCGTGCCATCCACTTCCATGATTCTGTCAGGGGGGAGTGCAATATCTTTTCCTTGCTTGCATACCTGCAGCATATGATTCTACAGGAGCTTGTTCACACCACCTGAAACAAATAGCAAGCCAATGCAAAAACACCCATTTTCACCGGCAGTGGTGTCTTCGAATTCTTCCTCGCAACAGGTTCCAATAGTTTTCCTTGACCGTGTGGGTCCGGACGTCCTGATGCATGTATATTGGGTCTATCATCAGTCTATCCTATTAGCAGGGCCCAGTGGATGATGATGGTTGAGTTGCAGGCCTTGTTCAAAAAAACTGATGTTATCGTTTACTGACTGTTATTGGCTATATCAGATCATTGACTGTGTGACATGAGTTGTGGTCATGGTCCTGACCTGAAATAAAGCATCTGCTGAATGGGAAGGCAAAAAACCTTGACCAACGATGACTAACGAGTTGGTTTGCCATATTTCTTGGGGTTTGACCGTTTGACCTGCTTTAAAGCCAATGTCACTCAAACCCAAACAGAAAAACCACCGCAGATTTTCTTCGACCAGTAAGTCTGCCTTCAGCTTGTAGATGTCCTTGTTATGATGGACACAGTATATGTTGCTTGTTGGTTGAAGAACCTTTGAGCAACCTTGAACAACCAAGCAAAAGCTTTCCTGGGAACGTCATATGTGGAATACCACATGTTCCAACCTTTTGTTTCACATCAATCACTTTGGCTTATCCTATTAATTACCAGGTCCTATTCGTGCATGATGGGGCCTGGTTGCAGGGCCTTTCCATCCAGGTGGTTCAGTCGCAGGCCTTTCCATCTCTAAAAGAGATGATGTGACCCGACGGCCAACGCGACGGCTCTGGTTTTCAAGGACAACCCATGGGATCCCCTGACTCACCGAAGGGTGACCGTCTGCCGAACTCGCCGAACTGCGCAGCGCCGGTGTTCTCCTGCGCTTCGTCTAAGCTCATGCCGCCGGCCAAAGCCTCGGCCCCGGAAGAAGGATGACGGCGGGAGGAAACGCAGGCGGCTGACTGCGTTGTTCTTTGTCTTTCCCTCGTTGAAAAACGTGAGGATTGGTGCCAAAGTGGCCAAGTATAAACTAAAAATGGAAAATGTGAGCATCAAATAGCATCAGCAAGTCTCTTTTTCATGATGTTTCTATGTTCTCAGGAAGTCCGCCTCTCTAGAAGTCCAGTCCGCCTCGACCACGGCAGTGGACCGAAGACGGTGGTCGCCTGGTGTGTTTCGGCTGAACATGAGACAGATCGCATGGTGTCCAGGATAACGACGTGTTTTGGGATACCTGTGAAGTGTTTCAGGCGAGTTTGGGCGGCCGAAAGATCAACTTTTCTCCTTCTTGGTCTTGACATCCATGTCGCTCTACTAACAAAAGATCTCAAACCCCGCAGGCGTTGGTCGATTTGTCCTTTGCAATGGGGTTTCGAAAGGCGCCCATCACATCAATTCCTTGTGAGCCAATGGGGTTGGTCAGGGTTTTCCTTGTGAGCCATCGCCACATGCCTTCACCCAGTCACATCAAGCCATCGCCAAGCCACTGCCCCCTTTGCAGCCTCGCCCGCCTCGTTGGCTGCCTTCTCAGCCTGCGGGTCCTGTATTCGCTACTCCGAGTTCCGACAGGAGAATGGTAGCTAAGCCCTGGTAGCTTGTAAGCTAAGGGACCAAACCTTTCGACATTGAAGTAGGTGTTGCGGACCCTCAAGATCGAAGTGGACACTTCATGAAGGAGGTGGCCACTGACAAGTCAGCGCCGCCGCGTGCCCCCCCCGATCGTCGGTGCCCGATCGTCGGTCCCCGATCGTGTCGGACACCGCGGTCCAGGGATGTCCAGGGAAAAGAACGAGCTTTTCGGGTGAATGTGCCATGCCACCCAAACAACACGTTCTAAGTCCATGTACCTAGAGAGCTTCAGAGCTTGGTCCTAAGTATCGCTTAAGTATATCCATGTAAATTCCATAAATCTACCACAACTACAGGGTCCCAATTCAGGTCAACCTCTCTTGGTAGATCTTTTAGGGCGGGCTGGTGTCAAAACATAGACGTGTCATTTCAGGCACAACCATTGAGCCCTCGGCTGTTGGGGATTCAATGCTCGGTTGACCTGGCATGAAACTGTGATAAGCTGTGTGACAAAGGACCCTGCATCTATACTATACAAGCCAGTCAAACCAGTGGTGCTCACGTGCTTCCTAGGCGTTTGGCCATGTGTTGGTAGCTCGCTGGCTAGACCAGCCAGGCCCATCGTTTCCCGACCTGACACCCGTGGGGCAACTGACAGGGTTACAGCTTTCGTTTCGAATGGGCGCATGTTCTTTTAGATCGTCAGGCCACAAACCACAATCCCTAAACCCTCCAGTCGCACGCTCTAGCGAAACGGTGTCCATACACCTCTGGGCACCCACCTCCTGACACCGAAACGGTACGGTACGGTAGTGCTGTAGGGAATGGACCATAGACCAGAGCAAACAGAAATCACTCTTTTTCACCATCCAAGGCATCTAAGGATCGTCTCATGTTCGCCCGATCGATCGAGATACTCCTCGCCTCCATCAAGCCGCTGGCCGTGCCGGCCGCCAACACCCCCAAGCGCGCTGCCTGGATCAAGTGCGGCGCACGCGCGCGCAGTCGTTGAACCGATGGGCCACTGGGTGACACGGATATAAAACGGCCGCACTGATGGGCTAAATGGCCAGATGCTTGCGCTGATTCTTGTTTTTCAATGTTGTCTTTACCCTAGGGCTCCAAGTACCTTCTCAGAAGGTGTTTATAATTCTCTAGACTATGAAACTGGCGTTGATCCCCATAGCCAACCCACAGCCCTATTGTAAGTTGACCTCAAACAATAGCCATTTCGGCCTCCTCAGGCTTGGAGCCGACGGCCATCGCCGCCGCGCGCGCCTCGGAGGACGGGTGATTTCGAGTGACCAGAAAAACCCGACCGGCCAGATCCGTGTAGTAGCAACGGACCTAGTTGACCTTTCTCAGTTCCTCCAGCACCGACAGCTCCCCAGCTCCTTTGCCTGATCCTCCTTCTTCCTCCTTCTTGAGCAGACAATTTATCAAAATCAATCAATCATGAGTAGTGACTGACTGGTTCTGACAAACAAACATCTGTGTTTGACTGAATGAAGGTTGCATCAAACCTAACAAAAGTCTGTCATACAGTACAAACAAACGACTCTATGTGAACCCATAGAGGGTCTCTTATATAACTCTTCAATTGATGGGGGGTTATATGAATGAGTATCATGAAGTCTATTGTATTATTTCACATCCCAATAGTAAACTACGAGTCAATGATAAACCTCAAAGACTCCAGGCCTCCGAAACCATACAAGAATAGACTAGTGTCAATCATCAAACCGATGTTCAGTACGTTGAACATCGAGAGCGGTACAATTATAAACCCAATGTGTGCAAAGAACATCACAAGATAAACAAAACATTCAGTAAAAACCTACACTTGACCTACTCCTCTACAATAGAAGAATAAAACTCAAAATCAGCAGTAGAACTAGTCTTAAGGTCTGACGTGCACGTTGTTGCGAGTAGGTCTTATTTGGGGGGAGGTGCATTCTTGCGATGTGCACATTATATACTTCATACTTTTCACAACCCTTCCCGGAGATGATGAGCCGGGGCTTCTGCTTTGCAAGCGCCTCGTTGGGTTTCATGTACCTTCCTTTTCATTTTGGTGGCATTGTTCAACCCTGCTTCCCGCAAGGCGGCAAGAGACCTCGACTCAAAACACTTGAAGGACAGGATGCAGCGAATAGCTGGCCCATAAGGCTTTTCAGCAACGCCTACCCTGGCTGTTCGTCAACAAAGAATTGTGGTGTGCAGGAATCCTAAATCCATCGAAATCCACAGATTTCTGTTTGGCACTGGCCAATTGCCCATTAGGTCAGGTATCTCGGAGGAGTCTTGGATGGACCAAGACTTTCCAACTCGATGAGAGGGTGACCAGCTGAAACTACTCTAGTGACTATAGAGTACACCCAAAGAGGATCTTATCTTCAGGAAAAACACAAAGGTTGATCGGTTGATCACCAAATATCACAAATCACATCAAATGGACCAATTTGAATCAAAAATACCTACACAATACTGGAACATACTTTCCACCACTTGGCTGATCCATATTTAGGCTTCATCTGGCACTTTATCTCTGCCACTTACAGCCAAGTTCCTCTGAATCATTATAACTGGCGGACATTACATCTAGCTAGCTTTTTGGGTTCGGCTCCTATTATGACCCCCCGGCACCTCTCCTCCCTTCGCTCCCAGGCGCTGCTTGGGACGCCGCTTCCACGGCCCCCGCCGCGCCCCCGGCCGCGCCGATGGCGCCGCCGCCCGCGGCGCTGCCCGCGGAGGCCCGGCGGTGGCCCAAAGAAGCTGTGTGCCCGGCAGCCGCCGCGGCGGGCGCGGCAGAAGGGAGGCCCACCTGCCGAGTGTGGATCGCTTGGACCTTTAAGAACCCCCCCAAGATGAATGGAATTTCACAGGTGACAGGCCCAGAATCCGTTGCTGCAAAAGAGAGATCATTCAGTGTTCTACGGACAAATAGAATCGATCTCCATGTGTTTGTCTTGTGGGGATTCACATTCCTATCTAATTATTGGGGCGAAGACTGTGGGAAATACAGCTTTTGGGCATAGTTCAATTCGATACCTCAGGTGGGTCGCATAGCACATAGTCGTGCACACAAGATGGCTGTAGGCCCAAGATCAACCAGGAACCACACCAATGCATTGCTGGATGCTCAAAAAACTTAGAGAGTATATATATATATATATGTGTGTGTGTGCAATTTCCACTTAGAACATTACTTGTTCTTTTTTCCCCAACATATATAGGTTCTAAGTTCTAAGATGTTTTACTTACAGTATAGGAGTTGACATAAGTTGATCGATCGCCGCTGCCGAAGGCTTCCGAGCTTCCGGTAACGACCCGGAAGCGGCTCTTCGTCGGCCCTTCGGCCGGCCACGAAAACTGGAGGATGTAGAAGGAACATGGACATCAACATGTCAATGCTCTACAAGCACCCTTATGCCTTCCTCATCGTTCCGCCCAACAAAAGATTGGACAAACGGTTGGCTGAAGTCCAGAGTCTTCGGGAAGGTCTAAAGCATCGAAATTCCAAGGCCCCCCAAACTGCTTAGTCCGTGTGCCGACCGCCTGGATCGTTCGTGGTCTTCACATGTCTTTACTGTACTATATGGCCCCAGACCCGAGCCATCTTGGAGCGATTCCTGTTTTCATGGCCTCCGTGGCGGCTTGCGCCGCGGCCGCGCCCGCGCGCTGGGCGGCCTCAGGGGGATCAGCTGAGGTCTTAGGCATACAACATGTCACTCCCAAACACGACCTGTTTGGGACTGCCATTTTTGCCCTACAGAATTGGGATGGTTGGGGGCTGGGGTTTGGGATGTATATGCATGCTATTTCCACCCACCCATAGGTCCAACGAGTCCCTCGCGTCCGTCGGTCTAAAGAGTCGGTCGCTCTACGAAGCACGCCATGAGGCGACAGAAGCGAACGTTCGAAGCGAGGGATCCGGGTGAGAGTTTGAACTGGTCGGTTCCCATTCCATCGGGTTCGAGTGTCTGAACTCAAAACAGGCCTGGAGCGGATCTTGCAGTTTTGTTCTGAATGGCTTGCAAGAAACATCAAGAAACACTTCATTCGAAGAGGCTCATGATGCAGGTCACCCTGAACGTCAGGGGTCTCAGAAGATTGGGGGCCAAGGTTTATGGACTTCCTCCATTCTCTAAGCGAAGATGAAGCAAACACGAGACCAGCCTATACGACCATTCGTACTATAAATTTAACGACATTGGCCTTTCGTACTATAAAATCAAAGAACGACCAAGAATCTCCAATTCGACAAGATTTTCCGGAATCGTCAGTTTTTTGGTTTCCGTCAAGAAATCTCTGCCCGTATCAGCAGCTGTTGGGGTTTAACAGCTGTGGGGCAAAGCTGATCATCACAGTGTGTGGTGTGTGCGCTGTGGATTGGCGCAGTGAAGGCCTGGCAGCACGCTTCTTTGAGGTGGAGGGGTCAAGGGTGGCAGAGATCCTGCAAAGAACCACTATGCGGATATTGCAGGATTTTGATTGGCTCAATCTTGGTTAGGCTCACTTGCGATTAGCCTTCTAGTCATGGCGGTCGTTGCTGGTGGTGACTCCATAGACTGCCCAGTGATGCAGGAATGGCTAAAGCTAGAAGCTGTGGTGTCTCGGGCTTGCACCTGTGGGCAAGTAACTTCGGTGAAAGGCAACGCAATCGACCGCACCACTGTGGCTGACAATCATGAGCTTCTGGCACCATTGGTGACACACTTCGGTAACTCGCTTGGTAAAACAAGTTGATTGAATCATGATATAGTTCTCTTCACTGAAAGGTACTTGAGCGGCTTCATTTTAGATGTATCATACAGTGTCGACCCACCACATCTGCACCGCCCAGGTATGCGACCGAGCGTGGCCCTGCTGGAGGACTTGGTTGCCAGATTTCTCTTTTACTGTCGGCCACGTGGAAAGCCCTTGCCAAAAAGTATCTTGGCTAATAATAGGCCCACCCTCTTCATTTGATCAACTTAGAAATTGTATTCATTGCATGAAATGACATCGCATATATTGGATAAAGACCGGTCTTCACTGCGTATCTCAGGCGAAGACATCAAGACTGAAGCATGGGTACTTCGGAATTTGATCACAGTGCTATGTAGCGCAGCCCGGCGCCCACATACCCCTCGAAGCCCTGAGATGAGGGCGCTGTTCAGAGCCATTGGGATTGATGCCCCGGAGCCCCGTGCCCAGCCAGTCAAAGATGGCGATGGAACTTTGGTTGCAACATCTTGGATGTAAGAACATTTCGAAGCAACCAGTTTACTTGGTTTCACCCCTATGCCCATCAGCTTTGACCAATTCCGGTAGTACCACAGTTTCCCAGAATCCGCCTCCTCTTCAGGATTGGAAGGTGATGGTGAAGAAGGCCTAGAAGCAATGGAGTCTGAGGCTGAGGGGGAGTTCATCGATGACCCAGTGCTTCAGGCTAGGCTGTTCTTTGTTGCTGATGTACACTGGTTGTATCAAACAATTATTTATCGGTGAATGTTTGAGTACAGTAATTTATTTGGCTGGCCAGGTTCCAGAACCTCGACCTTTGGAGTCTGCCAACCCAAAGAATGCCGAGAGCAAACCGGCGACTGCACGTGACCAGGTTGCAACAATGACTCTTCAACCTATTCTGGCCTTACAACGTGCATCACACTTCAGAATCCTTTGAGGGGCCAGGGTTCGCCAAAAATGCATAATTCGCAAAACAATCCAAAGCTTAGGTGTGGAGTATGCGTTGCCAGCGGTCCCTACTCCGATGCCTCGCAGCGCATCCGATGTCAGTTTGCGCACTCCTCCGCCGAGAGGTGCCTGGGCTCAATTTTGTTTTCGGGGCAGGCAACAATGATTTGGACGCACCGCATGTAGCTTGACTGTGTTCGAATGATAGTCACTATAAGCACCATGGATGGTGATACTGGAGGCACGTTGGCTTCCCCTTTGAGTATGACACCAGTGAAGCTGCACGTACCAATGAAATGTGGCTACATCTGCTTGGATTGCAGGGTGTCCCACATCAATCCGGAGAAACTCTTTGAGCAACCATGCGATGGTCGTCTTGTGGGGTTCAAGAGTAGCTGTCACCGCATTGTCAAAGCAGCTGTTCAGTGCCAGAACTGTTCTGAAGTTGGTGACAACCAAGAGGAGTTTATGCAGGAGAATTGTCGGGGGCAAAAAACGGCCTCCCCGAGTTCAACTGAGATCCACACCTCTCTCTTCAACGACCCTGTCCCAGAAAATGTCTCGCTGGCTGAAGAGGCTGAACAGAAACTCCAAAAGCTTAAGATCCTGAAGCAGTTGGAGGATGAGCGAAAGGAGCTTCAGCGGTTGCTGGGTGCACAGTCTCGAAACTCTTGCATTTTGACTGCACCAGCAAGCAAAGAGATATGCATTGATACATGTGTCTAGAGCTTAAAGCCCTTTTCATATGAATGATAAGTGTTTGCATATGTTTGCATGTTCCACTTCACGCTGGTATACGTACTGGCCATATCATGCCTTCACTCAAGGTATTGACCAGCTGGATACTCTTCCTATGGCACCGGAAGAAATGGAATTCTATGTGGACGTGGCCAAGAATGAGCCTCGTGTGGGCAAGTCGCATGTCTTTGCAGCTGATATCGAAGCACCGGAGGCAACCAATCAAATATACAGTATACAGTACGTATGTGGTTCTTTTCATGATCTGGTGAATTTGATGTGTGTGTGTGCGTGTCTGTGGCCTTGGTTTCATTTGTGACGACACTTATCCCATCTTCAAATGGTGAAGGACGTTCATGCGATATCATCCGCAAGATGTTGCGCAGGTGAGCGATTGCAAGGATGTCGTCCCCGCCTCAAGCGCAAAGACAGCAGCAGCACAGCAAGAGCAAACAGCAGCGGTACAGCAAGAGCAACCAGAAGCAGCGCAGCAAGAGCAGCCTCTCGCCATCCCAGCCAGTGCACCTACATATCCTGAGCCAAGCGCAGCAGAAAGCACACCTCCCATAGTTGAGACTGAGGCATGTATCTCACCGGAAGAGCAAAACAAACTTTCGGGTAAAGCCGAAAAGAAGAGGGGTCGTCCAGCAGGGAAGGCTAAGGCTAAGGCCAAAGCAAAATCACACCCAAAAGCAAAAGCAACACCCAAGGCAACCGCCAAGGCAAAAGCTGCTAGCGCAAAGGCGAAAGCGAAGGCAAAGGCAAAGGGAGGCAACAAGCAGGTGGTTGGGGAGGGAGCTTCAAGCGCTGTTGAGGCACCAGAACCTAAGAGAAGGCGCAAGACACAGGTTGAGGTGAGTGCGCCAAGCAGCAGCACCGGCAATGATGCAAAGGCCAGCAGGCCTAAGAGGAAAGCACAGGCAGAACCTGAGGTTGATGCTGTGGACCCAAAGCAGCGGACAATTGAGGACATGCCCGCAGTGATCCGCCGCCCCCGTGTGCGCAAGCAAACCCCAGAGGGATGCACGCCTCCGCAGCCCGCGAGCGCAGATCCTGCTGCCACAGAGAACCCAAGCACAAATCTTGATGGCGCAGAGGATCCAAACCCAACGCCAAAGTCCGGCGAGAGGACTGCTGCAACCAGTGGCAACTCCAGTGAAGCAAAGCGACGCAATGCCCGGAAGTCAGCAGCCTACCGCAGGGCAGCAAAAGCAGCCAAAGATCAGGGCTTGACTCCTGATGAGTGTGCAGCTGCTGGGAGGAAGGTGTTTTAGCTGATTATCAATCCCCTTGCCATGTGTTTTCATGCGTGTTCTACATGTGTGTGTGGGTGTGTGTGGGTGTGTGTGGGTGTGCCTGGTTCGCGACTTAGGCCTACGCTGAAACCAAGTGAGTTCCGAGATCAGTCAATTTTGTCTCGATCATGTTTTTGAAGGTGGAACAGAGCCATGGAACGCAGCAGGGTTAACATAGTCGTTTCCAGAAAATATTGACCGGCCTATATCGTATCCAGTATCCAACGACCGTTTCCAGAAGTTGTTCTTTTATGAAGAGATGGCTCACCATGGGGTTTATCACGTGCAGTGAGTGTCAAAGGCTGACAACTCCAGAACACGTGCGGGTCGTAGTATGATCGATGGCATCATACCTAATTTTACATATAGGTTTCACCAGGGGCTTTAGAAGATGGCTCTTGGTGATCTGGACTTTGGCACCAAAATTGCTGGCTAGAAAAGCTGTTTGTGGCGCGCAGCATGCGAATACCTGTGCCCATGTCCAACGCGCACCCTGGTTTGAGGGGAGGAGATTGGAGATAACTTCCCACATGCTACTCGCTGCTCTGTCAGGTGAATGGATGGGCTGGCGTGCTCGCGCTCGGATTAGAGGTGCCACCCTCCTTCCTGCCTAGTTGCAAGTTGGCCGCTGCGAGGGCGTGGGTCATGATTCATGAATCCTCCTAGATTGATCCAAGTGTTATGCACAACTGTGATCAACTGTGCATTTTGTATGCAGCTTTGCTCCACCCATCTGCATTAAGCTTTTAGTTGGGCCGCAGTGTCCCGGGGCTTGTGGTGTGCAGCCATGATTGGCCGCTGTTTGGTTCGATCCCTCCTTCAAGTACGAGCGCCCAAAGTTGGGATCTCGTTCGAATTACATGTTGATTTGCAGAGCTAACATGTTTGGCCTTTCTCCCTGAGGTCTTTTTGGCAATAGTGTGGGTCTTATTTAGACCGTCTCACACACAATGTATCAAACTGGAGTGCCGTTGTTTTTTGCAGGGAGTATGTTTCGATGATCAGGTCCTACTACTATCGTGGAATGAGCGGCTGTCCTTCGATAATGCATCCAAGAACTACAACTTTACGGAAATCTTTTCAGGGAAAGGAGAAGTATCAAAAAGGATGCAGGGTGCCCAGTTTTCTCGTTTCCCCTGGACATGTGAAGAAAAACATTGTATATGTTACTATGACACAACACGCTTTTGAGGCATGAGCTTGGGTACCGCGTGGCATCCATTGATTGGGACTACAGCAAAAAACATATGAACTTCTTGGGAACAAGCGGCTTTTTGACCCTCAGCATAGCGTTTAAGTATGGCATATCCAAAGATGTTTCCACAAATCGTGGATTTCATGATTCAGCTCGGAATAGGTCACAGTCCCTTCTTTCCTTCACACATGTTTGCACCACGACCTGTCAAACATCCCAGGCTAGCTCTCTACACCGTCTTGAACCAGGATGAGCACGCCTTGACTTTGATGGCGCCGGACTGTGGGAGCTGGGGCCTGCCAGCAAGGTCAACGTCCCAACGTAGCTACGTCAATCCGATGGGCTGTGAAAGCTATGGTTTTGTTGACAGAGGCAATATCATGGTAAGCAGGTTTCTTGAACGCACCCTTTACTTCAAGCATCATAACACATCCAAGGGTCCAAATCATCATACTTCCACAAAATGACTTAAGGTTGGTATTGTGCATCTTGCTGATATTGAGTCGCAATGCCTTTTATTTGGTGGAACAGCCACGGCAAACTCTACTAGACCGCCACCAGCGTTGGCAGTGGTTCGCTAACCGAGTTTCTTGGGTACCTTGGAATCGAAAGTTGGCCCAACCTCCCATTCATCCAAATGCCTCGCATATTTATAGTTGTTTGACAATGCACTTCCGTAAAATCGACCTGAGGTGTTCGAGATCTCCTTTTGGATGCAGCTTCATGGCTCAGGTTCTCCAAAGCCGACCAAAATGATGGGAAATCTTAGGACTATCAACCGCCTTGACAAAGGGAAGTTGACTGCCAAAGAGAAGGCTAAGCGGTCTAAGGTCAAGACAACGCGTACCCTAGCAGGATTTACCATTCGTTCGCATAGTTCTTTTTGGTCTGTGATGACTTGAGTGCAAGTCTTGAAATCTTAGGCAAATATGTCGACAAGTCTGGCCAAACCAGATTTGTTGGTTGCAAGCATGCATTGAAATCAACACAGAGTTTTGGCTTATTAAACGTGCGGGGTCATGACGTTTAAGCCTAGTGGGTTTGGTTGACTCGCAGGATTTGACGCCTCTTGCCCAGGACATACCCTCGGGGCCTTGGAGATGCCATCCACCAAACGTACGTGGCGCAGCTCTCCGGGCCTGCGCATGGTGATCTTCGATTGAAACTAGAACCCTGCCCATCCAAGGGGCCTGTGGAACTTTTCGAAGAGATGGAACTGGGAGATTGCTGGCCCGATGCCCACCTAAAAGAATGCTTCGATTACTTGATCAATTGCAAATACACAAGGACGACATGTATATATGTTCATATTGTTGAATTGATCGAAATATTGGTCCATTTGGGTTCTTCGGGGTTTGATGGGGCCCATACTTGATCAAACACGTGCACCGGTAGGATCCCCACAGAATGGGATGATGCGATGAAGCGATTCGCAACTGAATGGGCATCTTGTTTTGTAATACGTGTCAGCTTTTTGCCAGTTAACGCAAAGAATTTCACTCTCGATCTAAGGCAGCAGCGGAGTCAGGTTTCTGAGTGGCTCTTACCACTACCTAATTAAAACCGCTGCCAAAGAAATCGGAGAAATCGGAAAAATCGGAACCGATTCGAGAAATTGGTAGCTCGGGTAGCACGACCGTGCCTTGGGGTCAGAAAAGGGAACCGCAATTCGTACCGCAATTTTCCGCAATTCGAACGCAATTTTCCGCAATTCGGCGCAATTTTGAAAATCCAGTACGATTGACATGTTTTTGATCATTTTTAACCACAGGGAGCGCTGAATTGTGGAAAATTGCGCCCGATTTCCGGAAATCGGAGCTTGCTGATCAATTTGGTTGAGTTGTAATATCCAAGAACCTTCTCAAACCGTGAGTTGCTATTTGGAAAGGTTCAACATCTTCGGTTTGTGGTCGTGACACCTAGCTATGGCAGCTTCGGTCAGCAAAGTTTCAGAGTCATGCGAGACTTTGCAATATGGGACGGGCCTACTTGGTCGCAACAGTGAGGGACCACAGGGTGAATCAAATATAGATGATTTGATTCGAGCACCGCGGCTGCAATTATTTACGCTGGTCTGATGTCACCCGCTTACGTCCTTACTAGTACAGGTTTTCTCTTCCCAAAAGTTGCCTTCAAGGCACAACGGGAGAAGATTGCAAAGTTGCGGGATGCCCTTAGCGCAGAGCCACCGTCAAACCTTCGACGGGAGCCGTCTATGGTTGAAGGTGCCTATACATGCATATGTGTTACATGTTGTGCGGATTGGATTAAACATGATTAAAACAACACCCACGGTGCCAATCCAAGAGCCCTTGTTTTGCCAGGAGCCCCAGTCATCGCACATGCCGAAGGTCGCTTCGTTTCTGGGTTCAACGAGACTAATGCTACTTGTACTCCGGGCAGTCAGGATGAAGGGAAACCAGTCCTGGAGAGGTCACTTGCCAAATCTTCACTTTCGGTGGCCCAGACAGTTGAAGAATCACCAATGCCCTCACCAGCACCACCTGGTGCTCAACTTGATGTTGCGATTGATCTTGATACACCAATGGTTCCTGGGCCTTCCCACACCAGTCACAAGTCCGCCGACCTTGACATGCCGGGTGAAGTTCCAGCTCCTGGAGCTTCTTCGTCTTCGATGCCTGCCGCCAGCGGCGGCCGGGAGGTCAGGGACAAGTTATACTTCAGGAAGCTTGGATTGGGATTAGCCCAAATAGCCAACATGATCCCACATGAATGCATATTGCAGTTCAAATTCACGTATCTGCATACACATAAAACACGCGCACACTTACGCATAAGGATGCGGAGGTATTGCGCTTCAAAGAAGGCATCCGCTGAAATCGTCAAAATGTTTGGCCATCGGGATGGACGCCCCTAGGCTGCCCTACATGTTTACACACAATGGTGTCATCTTGGATATGCATGTGAGTTATCAGTGACACGAACAGTGACACACTATCAACTTCTACAGAAGTCTTCCCCTACTAAGGCGACAAGATCCGTGAACTTCTCATCAAGAACGGCTTGCAGTTCCCACCAGTGGAGTTGCAGATCAAAAAGTGGTCAATTAAGACTCACCAGAGGACTAAGGAAGGTAAGTGGGTTACCCGTCACTATCTCGCTCAAGTCGAACACTGGACGAAGATCTGTCCTAAGTGATTTTTCTTGTGAAAACTACATGCAATGCACATATCTATAGCTACCCGTCATGGTACTTTCCAGTTAGAAAAAAATACCCAAGGAAGATGGTGGACACTGCCTTCGACTGGGCCGCCAAGAATTCCTTAATCCGAACTTCCCAGATTCACGGTGAAGAGGAGGCTAAGCTAATCCTGGGGGACAACTTCAGTATGAAGGAAGAGGAAGGAGAGGAACATAGCCAAACCATGAACTTGACCTGCGAAGAGCCTCGCCTCAATTTCATTGCTGACTCAGTGATAGACACCATGTTTACCAACTTAATGTTCACCGTCTTCTCGCCACATTGAAGCCCAAACTCGATTAGGACCCTGATGGCTCCAGCTTTCGGGACTCGACCATGCCCGACCTGAACTCCAGCGCCAGCAAGCTGCTTCAACGTGGAGAAGATGAAGGTGTGTCGCCTGGGGATCAGGCGGCGGCCAGCTCTGGTAGCTTTAAGTTTCCCGCTTTGGAGTCTTTATTACATGTATGGCACGAATCAGAAGCTCCATTCCATGATGTTCTCACCGCGTTTTATTAGTTGGTATTGGAGTGGCCTTGGATGTACATAAGGTTGGTCTTTCCGACGATTCAAGAGAACGCATCGGCCATTGCTATCCTACCTCACTTTCTTGAAGTATGTGGACGCAAGTTGGACAACTGCACCGGGGTCCAGGACTCCAATCCCGATTGAGTTGACGTGCGTCACACAATCCACTGGCATGCATCGTGCACACCTGCACCTAGTAATGTTGACTGGAGTTCGCCTGATGTTGTTATTTCACATCATTAGCTGACACCACTTGTACAGGACAAGTTGAACAAGGTCGGCACTACCCAAGCCCAGGAGTGTGAACCTGAGAGTTTCAACATGTATCAACTGTCAGCCTATGGCACGAGCACGTGTACATTCCCCAATAAAACCATGACATGATATCATTCACCGGCCTTTCGTTTGTTGGGCCCAGGCTGTCGAAGCAAATCTCGATCCATGTGAATACTTTGCAGAAGCTCTACAAGTCCCTCGAAACTTTGCAAGCGGAAGTTGCTGTCACCAGATCTGAGAGGCCCGCTATAGTCATCAATGTCATCGGAATCGATCTATAGTGGGTTTCACAAACAAACCGATAATTATACCATGATACCAATTGAATGGGCTGCCTTGTGAGGCCGGATATCCGAAAGCAAATCTTGCAGCATTGTTCTTCGTGTACACGCACGGATGTGGCGCTGAACAACTTGGTGGTTCGTGCAAGGACTGCAGCACAAACTTCAAAAGCGTGCAGCTGATGTTTTTGCTGCAGGAGCTTGAAAGGCAATCCGGCATCTTCCAAGAAGTCAAAGGGTGTAAAGCCGCCAAGTGGCAAGGGTAAGGCCACCAAGCCCCGCAAGAACGGCGGTGCTTAGGCCACTGCCGGTATTTTTGGCAGGGCGTCCAACTGAATGGAAGTTGGATTGACAGTTGACATCTTTTGACAAGATGTTCCGCATTTAGGTGGGTGTACTGGGTTTGTTGCATAGGCAGCCGGGTGTTGCTTCAGTTCAATAAACCATACCTATATTCAGCTTTATTCCTGAAATGTTTTTTCTATGTTGTGGCTTTATCATACATGACACTGTAGCGGCTGCCTGGAGCAACGTTGAAATCAGGGGTTCCAAGCTGACATCATCCAGCAACGAACGCAAACTATGGTGAAAAATGATCTTCATGACGGAGTCAACACAGGCTTCAACACTTATGGGCAACACAATGAACCAACTTATACATACATATGTGGAAAACCAACCCCTGCGCAGGTGTCTCCAGAGATGGGCTCTTTACTTCCAGAGTGAATGGTAAAGGCCCGGTCAAACCATGCCCGGTATCCCCCGACCTCCTCGCAATTCCGGGCAAGGCTTCACCATTGATGAGGACGCGGACCTGGCTGATGAACTTTTGGCTGGCTTCGAAGAGGGTGTGGCTTGGCTATAGCTTAGTGGCTTGGTGCCTGTCACATGTTTAGAATTTGTAGCTTTGCATTCAGTCATTCGCACTTTGTCAGTGGGTTGGTCCATTGGTCCCAGGCAGAATCAGCATCCAGAGTTGTTCGATTAGCCACAGTTGCCAACAACAGACTCAAGAAGCATGGTCCCTTGGCAAAATCAACAAACACGATCATTGGTTGCATCTGTTGTATTCTCAAAGTACTGAACCGAACCGAGCCTTTTGTAATTGCGAGTTGTTGTTCAGCCTCCCCTCTCCTAGGTTTGTCAGACCCTCTACTATCGAAAATGGCGAGATGTGGGAAATCGAAACTGGATTCGCACATATGCAGGAACTTGCACACCACTGTTCGCAAGTTCTCCAAGGCCATGCCGGTTAATTTGTCCAGTGTCAGAACATCGATGCGACTTTCGAGAAAGAGGCCCCAGGAAGTCCCAGTACAACATCCGGTGCTCCATTTGTCAGACTGGGTAGAATGTATCTTCAATCGAGGAGGCCATTTTTTCCTAGGAGGCCAAAGTCTGGATCATGCTGAACAATTTCGAGAAGTTTTGGTTGACTATTGGGAGAAGTACCATGCTATAGACCCTGGCTTCAATGTCCCTCGTTCACAATGGAATGAAGCTATTCCAATAGCCCTTCACGGAGATGAAGGAAGGGGTCGGCAGAAATTGCCGGTGATGGTCATGGCGGCCCAAACTATCATACCTCTGTTTGCCAACAACTCCAACATGGCTGGGACATTCAGCTTTGCATATAGCACTCTTTACAAGTTGTTCAATGAATAGGGAACCCAAAGCCACCCCGAGATACCCCATATGAAACACCTCTCTCTCAAACCAAGGCCATCACCTTGCTCGCGTTTGCTGTACACGATCATCCCATCACCCTACACTCCTCGCACCTTGAGGGATCTTCTGCGAGCTTGGGTGGACGACCTGAACAAATTGGCGACGGATGGGATCACTGTAGTTGGGCGGAGAAAGAGTTGCTACTTTCTGTGTGTTTTGGATTGTTTCGGTAATAACACCTCTGCAGTGAACCCTTATAGTTACATACATTGATCAGCCAAAATCACAGGTACTGTGGAAAGGGAGGGTCCACAAATTCCGGCTCATAGTCAATGCCATCAAGGGGGACTGGCCATTCCTTCGTTCATCTTGCGGGCTGGCAAACGGATTCAACTGCAAGGACAAGTGCCACCGATGCGTGCTAGCGGAACTTTGGTTCGCATGTGTCATGCAGGCTTTGCCTTTCATAACTTTTGGGAAACCTTTGCACACTAGAATGCAACCTAGGGTTCAAACAGCCGACCATGTTGATCAGCTAAGAACTGGTGGGACCTGAAGGGGTCCTTCAAGCGACTCCGGCCTGAAGACGTGAACCCGGAGCCATACAAGCGAGACCATCGGTCTCCGTTGCGTGATTTGTTATTTTTGAGGGGCGATGCCAAGTACATAAGAATCGATCCTGCTCACACATTTGCCATCGACGGCGTTGGCAAAAGTTACTATGCCAGCGCAGTGGTACTTCTCATGATGATGGGTTGGTTTGGTGGGAGCAATCACGATGAACGATTCAAAAATGCTTATTCCCGCTTCATGGCTTTTTGCGCTGCCCACGGAAAGAGTACTTCGATTCATGACTTTAGCTTCAAGACGTTCAAACTTCCAGTTGGCTCGCTTCTAGGTGGCAGCATGACCCAACCTCTTGGGGAAAAACACTAGAAGTTTGGTTAGTACTTGGTAACCCAAATGTTTAAGGACAAACCTCAATCAATACCAGCTGGGACGTACTAAGGCTACGTGCGTACCCTCGCGGTCTTGGCAAAGGACATGACGCAGCAATCTTGGGATCCTGGCTGGACCAGGAGCTCCAGCAGATCGATGTGGCCTTGGTGGCCACTTGCATGGTATTCATGTGCATTCGCATTTGACCTGTGAACATGTCCCCCAAATACCAATATCGAATCGGAAAGTCATGTTGCATGATCTCCTGCTTGAACTCTGATAAATATATGTTCCCATATCTTTCCACTCCAGGCTCCAGAATTTCGAGACATGATTGCAGTTCTGAAATGGAGCTGTGCAGCAATCAACAGATTCTGGAGAGCCATTTATGGGAACGGCATTTGGCTGCACCGGACCGTGGCAGCACAAATTGTGCAAGATGGCTGGGCTTGGATCGAAACTTTGACCCTGTGAGTCACATGTTTGGTTGCAAAGGTTTGGGGACTCACTTGTGGAATCACAGCCGGCTTGATTCTTTTCCTTGATGTAAGGATGGATACTGTACTCTTGCAGCCCTGACATCAAAAGCTGGGATCTTGGGGTTCCAACTTCGACCTAAGCTACACATGATGGGTCATTTACTGTGTCTTGACTGTTTTCATGTCCAAGAGTTTTCGACTGATGGATCTATTGTTTCTCCCCTGGGTCAGCTGGAAAACGCTAAAGCAGTGTGGTCTCACTCATCTAATTGAGGCTCGATTTGCAGTACGACATGGCCAAGGGTGCAGAGTATCTGATCAATGCATCAGTACATTCAACTTGGACCGATGAAGACTTCATCGGTCGCATTTCGCGAATATCCCGTAGAACTCATGTGCTGTCTGCAGCTCGAAACACGCTGCTAAGGGCATTGGGATTTTACAGACGCCAGTTTGGGAACTTTTTTGACCCTGCGTACTTGCACAACTCAGACTCTTAGGGCCGGGCTGGGAAAACGATGAAGTCGTTCGAGTGTGTTGCGCATCAGCTGTGCGTTGCAGCGGTCCGAGGGGGTGAGGTATACACCTATAGGATCACCAAATATCACCAAGATCTCTTGGATAAGATTCAATTCGTCAACTTTTTTTGGATTCGAGTGTTTTTTTCCAGTTCGTCATGATTTGAGGAGATCGTCAAGAAAATATCTCGTACCAGAAATTTAGCATACAATTGGTCCTCTAGGAGGACACACATCATTCACTCTCACGTACAACAAGACCGGTAAATACCGATGCATTGTACCCATACACACACGGGCACTCCATGTGTGGAATTGTGGAATGTTTACATTGGGGTGGTTAAGAAGGGGTGAATAGTAACAAGAAGCTACTAGTAGCAAAGGGCATCGCTACGTTCGTAACAAGGGCATTGCTACTAGCAGTGGTGGCTGCCGACCGGTTCCCTGCCCGTGGGCCTCCTGAGGTGTCATGGTGCTCAAGCAGAAGTCGCCCACGGCCTTTCCGACGGCCACAGCACCCAGCTTCCTGGGCGGAAGAGGCTGAAAGGAATGGTTTTTGAACCACAAAGGCCATGAAACCATGGTGTTAAGCTTCGTAAATTCCCTCGCCCTTTGCAAAATGACAGCTCTATGATCCTTCTACCCAGTCATAGACGAATGTCAAAATGTCACGTGGCGATTTTGTTTCATGACCTCTCTCAGGATTAGTGCCACCGTGCAACAGTGCAAACGTGAACCTGCAGTTGAGCACCTAGACCTAGCGACTTTAGCATAGGTGGTCAGTTCACCCTTTTTGAGGTACATAATATTGTTTTGTATATTGTATGTACACCCGGGAAGATTTACATGGAACCTGTAAAATGGACCTTTTCCTGTACAAACCAAAGGTTTTCAGATTCCATGTTCATCTTCTAGGGAGTATATACATATTTTTGTTTATTTGTTTACTTATGTCTGCATAGGTCCGGTATTATAGATGGTATAGCTGTTCCAAACAGGTGCACGGCTTGCGATGAGCCACGGCACAGTCGTGGTCTCCTAAGCTGCCACAGTTGTGAGGGTCATAGTCACAGAACAGATCCCCTTTGGGCTCCAACTACCGTCCGTAGTTAAACCTCCTGAGCACCACCCCAAACACCTTCGATTTGGAGGTAATAATTAGCTGATTTTCACCGCTCCGGTATCGCAAAGGGTGTCCCAAGAGCCTAGGCCTCTCAGCATCTTCCGTTTCCGTTGCGTCCCTGTGGATCGTCCGCCCCGAAAGAACACCCGCCGGCTCCCAACCGATATATGACCGGAAGATGTCGAAGTGTTTCCTCTTCCAGGAGAGGGCTGTCCGGGGAGTCGCCCTAAATACAAGTTCAATACAACATCAGTAACACGTTACAAGTTCCCCATCCCTGACAAATTAAGCCTTCTCGGAACGAAACCACACTATTAGCCTTTCCAGCCGCCTCCCATCGACTTTCCATCTCTCCGATTTGCTTTCGTCCGAGGTTTCCCGCGCTGCGACGAGCGAGGCGACCGCAACTGGAGCGCGCCGAGGCGCTCGGCCACCGAGAGGTTCAGATGTTCCTGCGCAGCCTTCGTCGCCGCGATCGCCAGGGCAGCGGCCTGCGATCGAGGCTCGCGAGCGAGATAGCGGGGCACCGAAGGGGGCTGTGTGAAGACGCACACAGCTCGAGACCGTGCAGAAGGGTTCCACACTATTATATAGTTCACTGATTCAACTATGAGTCAGGTTCTTGGGTTGTGACCTGTGAACACTGGACTTGGCCTTGTGTTGAAGGAACATCTCATATTGTTCTCCTTCGTGGTCACTCCACCTTGAGCAAAGCCCCCCTATAAGTTGGCAAAGAGTCCTCCCATATCCTTTGCCAGCAAGCAAGTCATGACAGCAGCTTGAACAAACTTCACCACAAGCATCATGAAACACATGACAAGGTGAGCCTAGGTCAGGTGATCGCGAGCTCCTGTAGGACACTTCTTTTTTGTTCCGTAAGAGTGTCCTACCAGGACTGGCGTCCTCTGAAACCAGTCTGCGCCACCTCTTAACAACTGGCGGCGCAGCTGGTCCCACGCCGCCTCCTCTTCCTCCTTCGCCACGAGCTCCCGAACAGCTCCCACAAGTGAGTCTCGCCACCGGAGATAGCCATTCTCATCTGGCGTGACTTCGCAACAGTCCCGCTTGGTGAGGTCTATTTTGTACCGGAGCCCCTTTTCAGGGTATCCATTCATTGACCCAACACGGAGCCCATTCCTCCAATCTTAGACCACATCGACCAACACCAAAGGACATTGACGTTGCCTCATCCGGCGAGGACGCCGCGAACTGCACACCACAGGTGGATGCCTCAGGGGCCGCAGCAACCACACATGGATGATTGACCAAGGCCGAACTGTTTCTAACTTGCACTTGCACACGAAAAACATGCGGGACCAAAAACCACACGACACAACTCATGAACAAAAAACACCCCGACCTCTA